CCCCACACTTTGCCTCTGCGGCGCACGGCCTTGTCCCCTTGTCCCCTTGTCTTCGTCGAGCTCTGATCGCTGACCCTCGTCCAGAGCCCATCAAATGGAGAAACAGTACTCGTGCCAGTATTGCCACAACCGCTTCAAGAACAAAAATGAAGCCGAGCGTCATCAGAACTCTCTTCATTTGCGACGGCATTCCTGGTCATGCGCGGCCATTGCAAACTACCAGGCAGCCTTTTACCCGTCCACCTCACCAACACCTACCGGGCTAGAAGTCCCTCAAACCGACACGTGCGGCTTCTGTGGAGAAGAATTCCTCAACCTCCCTCAACCTGACTGGGATCGAAGGATCGACCACCTCACCAACGTCCATAAGTTTGGCGAGTGCAACCAGGCAAAAAAGTTTTACAGGGCCGACCACTTCAGGCAACACCTCAAACATAGCCACGCTGGACAGAGCGGGAAGTGGACCAATGTGCTGGAAAATATTTGTTTGCGCGAAGAATTTGCGCAAGACACTGCTGGTGTTTCGCCAACTGGCAGTACTTCTAGTCCAGGGCGAGGTCCCAGCATTCTGCATGAGCCACCCATGGGTGGTGCCACCATCAACGAAGTGCAGGACGAGACATGAAGACTTGGCCTAATCCAGTCAGCGATCGACATAACTCTCCGCCATCTAAAGCCCTAGAGCGCTCTTCAACGTTGCAACTGATATCTAGATGCAGATGGAAGAAGCCAAATTGCAGCCGATTATTCTTATCTGTTTGAGAATACGCATTGTGGTCTTGAGACCTCGCTGTGCCTAGTATATGGACTCGTCCTCAGAGAAGGGCAAGCGGTGACAAATGCCTCGTCTTGCAGATGATTGCAGACCGCGGATGTCGATCTTACCTGTGCCACCTCTTTCATCGTCAGCTATTGTTGCGAACTGACTGAGTGCTGGTGGACCTGCCTGCTGTCGTGTCTTGAGATCTTTCTCTGTCACGCTAACGTCCCAACTGGTCTGGTGGCATGTTGACAACTCATGGCTTTCATGCATCACCCGAGTCAAGACCTTCCTTCCGCCACTTCGAATGGCCAAACCTCGCTTAATAGCGGACCTGTTAGCATTTTTACGCATGGGAGGAAAGCCTCCGGTCTGAAGTTGCATTCGTCAATGGGGTCGCTTCAGCGGTATCTTCCTGGATAGTTACGCGCATTGTAATGCACATGCATTGGTCCCCTCCTAACTTGGCCTCAAACCACGGTCCAGTCATTGCCTTTTCACAAAGAGCTCACACACTCTCTCTCTCCCTCTCTCCCTCTGTCTGTCTCCCCCTCTCGCTCTGTCGCTCGTGCAGACCATTTCTGCCTGAGGGTATTGCTTCGAGAGTCGCGCGGGTTGGCTAGTCACCTGTCGGTATCTGACTAAAAGTCACTACACCGTGCAGATGCTGGATCCACCCTGGTAGACTTCACACCTGACATGGCAAGATGCCATCTTCTCTGGCTAGATGAACCTCTGTTAGGCGAAAGTTACATGTTTAGACTACAGAACGGGGTCCAAACCGTGGTTGCGTGGATGCCTACTTTGATGATCGTCGTTGTGAGCTGGCATGCCCGGGACCAATGCTGGGTGGAAACTGAGGTGGGAGGGATGTATTCGCACTCTAGGATCGAAGGTCGTTCCCCTCGATCGTGTGCACACCATTGAATCAACTGCTATTGCGGACCGAATCAAAATAAGCGAAGGAACTCTCAAACCCATGCGGTGCGCAAGAAATGAACGAAGCAGCGTCCTTGACACAAGCGCACCGTGTCCTTGAACGGAAACCTCTTGTCGGCCTTCATTCTCAACTCGTCTACTTCAGGGCTTCCCTGTCTTGATGTCCTCGGCGAGGAGACCATCATGTCAAGCTAGTCAAAGTGGACAGGCAGCTGATGGCTTGACTTGTCTACCCCTCGTCGGGGCGCCTTAGTGCTTACATCGCGGGCACAGCGACCGCTCCTGGAGGGGACGCCTGAAATATTCTCTAGTCTCACACTTGGGGAGAATGGCACTGGTCTGGCAGAAAGATCTGGTGGATGTGCGGAGTTGTGGTCGGTGTCGAACACCTCGTCTCAAGGGTTTCTTAGCAGCATCAGTGCCTACACGATGCGGCGTGTTCGACCTAAGATCACCAATCCTTCTTTCAGTGACGGCTTTCCTGGAACCCGCTGACGCGGATGCCACGAGTTTGACCATGTCCGCTCGATCGACCCCGGCTGGCAAGGATTTGCCGAAGATAGATTGATAGATCAAGACCCAGCTCCTTTCGTTCTATCCTTCTGCGCATTGCTGTCGTGGAGCCAAATAGCGTCTCTCATGAGGGAGTGGTGCCATGGCGCAATCACGTTACACTATGTGCTAAACCAAGACAGATATAGGTCCCGGGAGAATCTGCAGAGCCTGCCAGCGATACAGGTCGAAGTCGCAGAGGCAAGCTCGTCACAGTCAGCCAAGATACTTGGTCACCAGACGTGCCCAAAGGATGATGGTTGTCTCGAGCAGTACAGCGGCATCTGTTTATTACATATAGTTAGGAGGTCGCTGGTTGGCCTAAGCCCATGCTTACAGTAGTATAGTGTAGTCTCATACGGCTCTGGCCTCAGGGCTCCAAGCCCTCAAACTATACCTAGGAATACGTAGGGCATCCGATGATATTACAGCTCTGGCACTGTGGCGTCTCTGTCTCTGCGTTAGAAGGTGTCTGTCTTGTGGTCTTTGTAGGCCTTGCATTCAGCTAAGTTGGTACTACCTACCTAGGTGCCTACCTAGGTCAGGTAGACAAGGCTGGTTCTTCGGGACAGGAAAAGGGGGTTCCGTCCACGTATCCGTACCAAAGTCGTACAGTATCCGTACGTCGATGTTTGACGTGGGTTAGGTACCTTAGGTAGCTTCACCAGGCACCTTCAGGTACTCCGTACATACTCTAGGTACCTTACGTATGGGTAGGAGGTATCTAGGGTTAGGGTTAGGGTTAGGGTTAGGTAGGAGGTACCTAATAGGTACGGTACAAATCTGTAATGGGAGTGCAATGCTCCGCCGTAGGGACCACACCCATAACCACAACCAACCGCAACGTGAACGAGACCGACAACGACATCATGTTCCCTTCCACTTCCACCATCACCATCACCATCACCACTGCATCACCTTCATATTCCAACCATCCACGGACGGGATCCTTCTCGCATCCACCGCAAATCTCCCTCTCATCCAACACAGCACTCCGAATCCAATATCCGTACAGCAACCCCCAACCCCCAACACCTGGTCTAACAGACATACTACTACACCGACATCGACACCGACATCGACACAAACACCCACGCACCCATCACGGCCTTAGGTACTTCCACAAGTCCTGCCCTGCCACAAGCATGCAAGTCGCCGCGTTTCTGTCCGACCTCAAATCGTTGAGTATCTGCGTAAGTTGAATATGGTCCCCGAATCCGACCCCCGACCCCAACCCCAGAAAATAGTCGTCGGGGACTTGCTCTCGTTGTCGTCGTCGTCGTCGTCGCCGTCGGTGTTGCTCTGTAGCTCGTTGGAGCCGTTGATACTCCGTCGCCTGAAGTTCTAACCTTTGAGACCCCAACCCCGTTGCACATCTCACATCTCCCATCTCCCATCTCCATTTCCATTTCTATTTCCATTTCCATCTCATATGATCCAGCCTCGGTCTACGCTAATTCATACTTTCCATGTCTTAAGTCCCACGAAGCTGCCGTCGCCTTGGTCAACCCGCCCGAACTTCCCTCCACCAAGGAAAATGCTAAAGGTATTTTGCCTCACGCCTCACACGCAGAAACACACCCGGATCCCGAGCTGCAGCACGCTAACGAGCTCGTATCACTACACTACGACGTCAAGGTCAAGTTCCTTGAGATGGGTCCCGACCCAGAACTAATACAGGCGGAGAGGAATGTTGATCAAGTAATATCGGCGTTGCATGCTTGAAGAGTGTGTTTTTCGTTTAGTAATGATGGATTCAGGATAGAGCTGTTTGTGGCATGGCTGACGCCTCCTCACAGCTTATCCAGGCCCGTGATAATGATGTACGACAGTCAATTTCCATTAGCATCCCATCATTGGCTCAGACCTCCAACCGGCCCAGGGCCAGAGGTTTCATCCTCTGCAAGAGCTTCTCTAGGAAGTGCTTCACGAGGAGCGGCAACATCTCCTCCTCGAGCGGCACATCTGTCGCTTCTCCGCCGTCCATTGCGGCATCGGCACTTTGAACCGGCCACCCTTGCCCTGGCAGCTACGTGCCTGTCAACCATCCTCATGTCCGGTCTCTCCCGTTTGAGTTGAAGCCTGTGATATGCTCGATAGTATCTAGTGTTGGTCAGACCGCGACAGTTCGGACATTTTTCGAGCTCTTCTGCTTCCGCATGGGCTCTGGCGGCCGCAATCCTTCCCTCTACTCGTTTCCGTCGTGCATCTCCTTTCCGCTCCCGTCGTCTCGAGTACGCAGAGAGAAAATCGCTCGGTCCATCCATTGGCAATGGACTTCTCACACTATCTGTCCCGGATTGCTGGAGTTGAGGATGGACGGAATTTGCAAGATCCCGGCCTATAACAAAATTGAGCACCTGCTTGGTGACTAAAAGCCGTCGCGCCCGACGGAGTAGTCTTTTATATCTGCCAATCCTGCTCGTCGAGTGCGGGTTGGTTGGACCAGGATGAGGACGGGAACTTTCGTGAGACACCCGATCCACAGGAACGGCGTTGGGGTCATTTATTGCATCGACAGAAACGATTTTGGTGGGAGTTGATGGGTCGGTAGCGACCTTTTTTGGTGCCGAAGCAGCCAATAAAGGGTCCTGCACAGCATCTTGAGGTGTTGCTGGTACACCCACAGGCGTTGGTGGCGGCGCTGTGGGCACTAAACTGCTTGGAGCAGTCATGCTGTCAACGGACGATGGCTCCCTTGCAGTCGCTGTCACGGTCGCGCTTGGCCTATGCACCTGAATGCCAGGTACGAAAGCTCCCTGGTCCTCATCGGGCACAAAGGCTCCCTCGTCATGCGCAAAAGCCCCCTCGCCAGGCACAAAAGCCCCCTTGTCAGGCACAGACTTCAAAGAGACAGTTTTGACCCGTTCAGCAGTGGTTGGAGGCTGCCCAGAATCCTCTTTCGAATCTCCCGTAGCGCCTGACGAGGATTGTTGGGCATATCCATGATCAGCTTCCGGTTCTTGAGCTGTATCGGTTTTAGTATGAACTGGCCCACTGTGCACTGGTACCCTGTGCATTTCACTTGCTATCTCCGAGTCAGGCGCCTTGCGATCTTGAGATAGGTCGACAATCTGCTCGTCGTTCCCAGGAGTCTCGACAGCCTCAGGCTCCTGTCGATCTTGAGACATGTCGACAATCTGCTCGTCGTTGCCGGGAATCTCGACAGCCTCAGGCGCCTGCCGATCTCGAGATATGTCGACAATCTGCTCGTTGTTGCCGGGAATCTCGACAGCCTCAGTCGCCTGCCGATCTCGAGATATGTCGACAAGCTGCTCGTCGTTCCCGGGAGTCTCAAAAGCCCCAGGCACCTGCCGATCTCGAGATAGGTCGACGATCTGCTCGTCGTTGCCGGGAATCTCGACAGCCTCAGAATCCCACTCACTCGGATGTTGGTGGGAATGACTAAAAACCTGTCCTTGTACTGAAACCTCAGAACGCTGGGGTGCAGGAACTGAAGCTTCAGAAACATTCAGACGACCCTTGCTGACTCTGGCAAGAAACGGCAACCCCAGCCCGGCGATGATTTCTTGGTGGTCACTCTCCCGGGCCGCCCTGCCGCTGGTATGGCGAGAAACACTTGCTCCATTGTTGTGCTGCGGTGGAATCTCATCACCAGTAGTGCCACTTGCCTCACTTCCTCCTACAGCCTTGACGCCAGACATTTGCGCTTCAAATGAGCCTGCCGGCTGTATTGTCGCAACAATAGGCAATTCAATACCTTTTGGGATAATGATGGAAAGGGATTGAGCAGACACTTTGATTTTGATTTGCGGTGTCTGTGGAGGAGCGCATGTATCGGACGACTTTGCAATTTCTGAGAATGATAGAGGAGTACTTGAACGCCTTTCAATCAATGCTTGCTCAACGGATTGGACCTCTTGGTCACGGAGAATCTGTCGAGAGACGGATTGTTCAGAACGATAACCTGACAAAGGCTGTTTTCGCGATTGGAGAGCGCTAGAATATCGCTGACGTAGGAAGGGAGAAGGAGTGGTGAATGGACGATCCTCGCGAGCTGTAGGTGTTCTGCTTAACCTTTCTTTCTGACGCTTGTTCAGCAATCAAGTGGTCAACCGGAGTCCACTGACATACTGTTTCGAAAATGCTGACCAGAGCATCAACTGACTGCTTCCTCACCGCCACAGGACTCGATAGAGCAAATACTTGCAAATTTGCTGCACTGTTCGGCTGCGCTTGGTGCGCCTTCAACGAGCGAGGCTCGGTGTTGGGGTATGTCCCCGACGAGTCCTACACCTGTCAGACATGAGCAATGCCCGTGTCATAGTTGGAGATGAGTCATGCCAGTTCTTTTGTACGTTGCAGTAGTTTATTCGGTTGTTCACGAGAGAAAGGTTAGGGTAGGGCGTAGTTGCAGGCAAGATGGTCGGGCTAGGGCCAGCCCAAGCCGTTGGAACGGGGATTGTAGCGTCTATTTGGTGGGACACATTGGGACGATATGCTCATTACTCATGTTAGGCGGTATTGCCGAAGGAGCTATAAGGATGTATGGCAGTAAACGGGCAGAGAGACGCATGTGGATAGAAGAAGCGCAGGAACACGGAGAAAGGAAGATGGGCTCAACGGAAGGATCGATGGATGCTCTGGCTTGATTCACACGAGAAATGGGATTGCAGGGCGAGGAAGGAGAGGTCAGCAAGCCTGTTCATTCAACATTGTAGGATCTCACGGATTGAAGAGTTGATCTGTCTGCGTCCAACAGTGTCTTCAGACCATTATGAACCGATGTTTTGAGAACATACCTACTGTATGGATATGCGCAGACGCCTCGCTTGAGTTTCCATTCTCGTATGTACCTAGTACTGTACCAGCCTGTGTCTCAACTGCGGAGGTGTGAGGCGCCCATGCCCGGCTGCGCACGTCTCGCAGCTTTCGAGACGACTCACGACTCACGACTCACAACCGCACTGCCTTGTACGGTTCTGCGTACTCCTAGGCATCATGGCTACCGCGGTCGATCAGAAGCTGCTACGGCAGACCAAGTTCCCGCCCGAGTTTAACCAGAAAGTCGACATGAAGAAGGTCAATGTCGAGGTTATGAAAAAGTCAGTTCTCCCACGCACTTGCACCGTCATGGTCTCGGTCCGCTAACAAACTTCTTTAGATGGATAGCAGGCAAGATCTCCGAAATTCTCAAGTCCGAAGATGACGTGGTAATCGAGCTATGTTTCAACCTGCTCGAGGGTTCGCGCTTCGTACGTAGCAACACTCTCATATCCAGTGGTCACGACTAACTTGTCTTAGCCCGATATCAAAGCCCTTCAGATCTCGCTCACCGGCTTTCTTGACAAGGACACGCCTAGATTCTGCAAAGAATTATGGAACTTATGCTTGAGCGCGCAGTCGAGCCCACAGGGTGTCCCCAAAGAACTTCTCGAAGCCAAAAAGCTAGAGCTTCTTCAAGAGAAGGTAGGATCCCACACTATCTGATCCCAGTCCATACTGATCTTGTTAGATCGACGCTGAAAAGGCGGCCCAAGAAGCGAAAAATCGCACGGGCCAAGAATATACGCGGGAACGGGAAGTTGATGCAATTCGACAGCGAGAACGCCCCGAGCGTGGTCGAGGACGTGGCGGTGGTCGTGGCGGACGGACCTTTGACTCACGAAGGCCTAGGAATTCGCGCTCTCCTCCACCTCGCAGACGTTCTCCATATAGAGGTCCTCCCCTCCGGCGAGAGGCCGACACGTATGTCCCTGGTGGTCGGGGAAGAGGAAGAGGTGGCGGTCGAGGCAGGTCTTTGACCAGATCAACATCCCGCTCACTATCCCGATCGCCATCCCCACGTCGCCCACGTCGAGTGGCATCTTCAGAACCTAGGTCCACCTCTGGTTCACGGGGACATTCACGAAGCCTGTCGCCACCGCGTCGGAGACGGCCACGGTCGAGAAGCCGGAGTTGGACGAGGTCACCGACTCCCAAGCCGACAGGAAGAAGGAGCCGGAAGGGTTCTGAATCGCCGGGTGACAAACGAGCAAGATCCGAAACACCTTCTGCTCGATCACGCTCACCATCGTCTAGGAGAAGACGCCGGAGTCGCTCATCATCTTCCCGTAGCCGAAGCACAAGTCGTCGTTGGCGCAAGGATCGTCGAGACCACTCATACTCAGCTTCGCCAGCAAGATCAAGATCGCGATCGCGATCGCGAGAAAGAAGACCCGGCCCTCGAAGGGGTGCCAGGCGCCATAAGAGATCTCCCTCCTCTTCTGATGATGAGCATAGAAGCAACAAGCGCGCTGATATTCTCAGGGGTCGCACTACGCACGATGACCGGCGTCTGAGCCGTAGTCCAAGAGAGTCGCATCGCCGACCAAGGAGCAGTGCGAGCCAGAGCAGGAGCCGCAGCCGTCACAGACATCATAAACGCAGACGATCACTGCCTCGCTATGAACCCGGTGCACGCAGGCGACGCAACACCTCTTCAGACTCTTCTCCCGAACAGAAAAGACGGAAACGCGACCTATCGGATGACGAGTCAGTTAGAGGGTCACCAGGCGGTCGGAAGAGGAACGGGCATGGCAGTGATGGCTCTGAATGAGCTACGCTCTGTGCGTTGAGGCGGGAAGACAGACGTGAAGGGCGATGTTACCTTCAATCAAGCCGGTCTTCTGAACTACCGTCTGTTTCTAACATGTTACAGCTGTCTCAATTCTACCTACATGCTTTCCTACCGGACTGCACACTGCTTGTATCGTTGCTGGGTTGCGACACACGAGATGCTGGCGGTGCTCTCCGAGGTACCAGACTAGTCACCGGGCCACCAACTCCGCTTGCTCACTTCATTTTGGAACTATGTGAGTATCCAGCACAAGAGCAGCATCAGTCAGCGTCGTAGTGCCGAACTGCCATGCTGCATTTCATTCCCTACAGTTATCCAATATTATTAATGCTTGAGCGCTCCGTCACATGACCTTCCCCACGTGACACTATTCCCGCCGATTTTGTTGGTAACTCCGTGAGAGTGTTCTGGCCAAAAGCCCATTGGCGGGCCGAGTGTGATGCACGTGACCATTCACGTTCGGCTGCCTGCGCTGCTAGGGCTTGGGAGGCCCCCGGACCTCAATCCTGCATCCCTCACCTCACTCCAGTCCCCGAAGCAAATAACATGTCACTTTGAAACAATTGCCAACATCTTACATTCTATCTTTTGAACCCCTATACCACTTCGGATCGTGTTTTCGTACATTTCCATCGGCTGTCGCCTGTTCCAATCCTTCCATACGTGCCAATCACCCTCTCGTTCGTTCCCGGTTCATTCGATTCATCATGAGTTCTGGTCCCAGGCTTGTCAGCAGCGCTGCAACCCGGAGAATTTTATTGCAATGTATGTTGCCCTTACCCTCCGCGGTGGCCATTGTGCCCCATGGGAGGCAGTGCGCTCACCCTTGAACAGCACACTCCCGTTTTCCACACTCCTCGCTCGTATCCGCCTATTCGTCTCGATCAAGATTTACAAGAGACCTGCCCCCGAGGCTTCAGGCACTAGCAATCCTTGTCCCAAACAGAGGTTATGCGACCGAGACGACGACGCAGGTCCCGGACCGCGGACCGCCGCCCGGTTTCAACATGAATGAGGCGAAGAAGCCACTGCCGAAGGATCCATCCGGCACTCCATCATCCGCCCCTACGGTCGCAGAGTTGAAACAGTCCGATGAGCAACTGAAAACCTCCAAGACGGGAGCGACGCTGGTCGACAAGTCGGAGGCTCTTGATCATGCTAGTTTGACTGAATTGGCCGCTGGTAAGGCGGCCGCGGATAATGCCCGGACAACTTCTACGTCGGTCGCGAACAAGAAGGAGGAGGCCAAGAAGCTCACCCTGGGCCAAAAAATTAAAAAGGAAGTTCAACACTATTGGGACGGCACCAAGCTGCTGGCCGCAGAAGTCAGTATCTCGACGAAACTCGCGTTAAAGATGGCCGCTGGCTACGAGCTCAGCAGACGGGAGCACAGACAGGTGAGGCTTCTGGTGGCAAATGTTCTTGGAAATTGATCGGGCTGACCTCTTAATAGCTTCAAAGAACAGTTCAAGACTTGGCTCGTCTGGTGCCTTTCTCCGTCTTTATCATCGTCCCATTTGCTGAACTTTTGTTACCTGTGGCGTTGAAACTCTTCCCTAACCTTCTTCCGTCCACCTTTGAAGGCCAGAAATCCCGCGAAGTCAAGGCAGCGCATTTGAGAGAGACCCGCAAGCAAGTTTCGTCCTTCCTACGGGATACTCTTCGAGAAACTGGTCTACCTATTTCGGCGCTTAATGCGAAGAAAGAGGAATTCACCGAGTTCTTCCGCAAGGTTCGCACCACCGGGGAGTCGCCTTCGAAAGAGGATGTGATCAAAGTGTGCAAGATTTTCAAGGACGACTTGACTTTGGACAATCTTTCCAGACCACAGCTCGTCGCCATGTGCAGGTACATGAACCTCAACAGTTTCGGAACAGATGCCATGCTCCGATATCAGATCCGCCACCGCATGCGACAGATCAAACGCGATGACAAGGCAATTTCATTCGAAGGTGTTGACTCACTCTCGGTCCCCGAACTACAGATGGCGTGTGCTTCTCGTGGCATCCGAACGCACGGAGTGTCACCAGGAAAGCTGCGGGAAGATCTTCAGGGATGGCTCGACCTCCGGTTGAAATACAATATTCCGTCGACTCTCCTGGTCCTTAGCAATGCCTACATGTACACCATTGGCAAGGATAGCGAGATTGATTCACAAATCGACGCTCTCCAGGCGGTACTAAGCAGCATTCCCGAGGAGTTGTTCCACGAGATCGAGCTAGAAGTTCACAACGCTGAAGGCGCCGCAACCAACAAGCAACGTCTCGAGGTTCTAAAGGAGCAGCAAGAACTCATTGAGGAAGAAAATGAGCAAGCCAAATCAACAGAGTCCGCCGAAAGCAAGAGCGCAAGTCAAGGTGTCAAGGACGACAAGGACATTGACGAGAAGCCAAAGCCCAAAGCCGTTGCTGAAGCGAAGGAAGCGCAGCCTTCCCCATCCAACGACGCTCAGGAGGCCGAGAAAGATGCCGCCGAACAAGGAAAGAACGAAGAAATCAGACAAGAAAAGGATGTGAAGAAGGACTGAGTTGCACCTCTCGGCCAATAGCCCACAACAACGGCGTTTGCAGATGGGCCCGGCACGGGAAGCCTCGGAGAAAAAGCCTCGGAAGCGACAGGCCGGGGAAGGCATGTTACGCCTGGTGTTCAGAATGAATGATCTTTGACCAGTTCATGGGGAGAACGGCACCACCATCATTGTGACGAACTCCAACCAATCCATTCCCATCATATACCATTCAAGGTTTCAAACAGAACGGAGTAGACTCTGACTCCTGAAACGGAGCGAATAGAAATAAAAAAAGACAAGCATTCATCCAAGAACCCAGAAGTGCTCTGGCGCCTTGTTGATTGAATTCTATGTAGAACGGGCCGAAATATTCACGTATTTTCAATGTTTGTCCATTCTGTGGTTGTACATGCTTTCAAGGCCCCTCGCATTCTACTGTTTCTCAAACGACATCACCACAGCGGGAAACCGTAGCTAAGCTCAAAGACGCCACAAGAATGCCTAGCAAGGACATGACTCAACTTCAGCATCATCACAGCCATTTCGTCTCGTCAGTAAGTGTGGGTACAAGCGTGCAGACGCCAGCGCGATACCGTATCACGTATGTGCAGACGAGGTTTCGTAATCATCACACATCCTTGGTCAAAAGCCAACTGCTGCCGCTGCTGCTGCTGCCGCCACCGCAGAAATACTCGGCCGGTGCTGGGTGCGGTGAAAGAAGAGTCTGTGTATCCAACACAAGTCTCCTTGACCCGAGGCGGCAGCGCGATTGTAGCTCGTAGCACAAACGTGAAGAAACGAGAGCCCGCTGGCCGATTATGGGTCGACCAAGTTGTGGGAGATCTGCTTCGAAGGCCTTCTTCCAACCCTTTCCGAGAATAGGGGAGATGTTCATCGATGGATCGATCGATCAACCATACTTGCGCAGCTAGGTGGTCATGTCAGAGAGGAGAGATCCAATTAGAAGGGAAAGGTCAAATCTTACATCCAGCGTCAAGACTTTGGAGCTGTTGGCACTTTGGTCCCGGTACACGCCCACGAGCGTCTCGCTGCCTTGGAAGAAGCCAGTCTTCAAGCTGATGACGATGAATTGCATGCCTGGGCCCTGTAGTTCATATCAAATGGTCAGTAAGCAGCCACCGAGAAAAGAATGGTTGGGTTGGCACGCGAAATCACGCGTGGGAAACCACTTACAGCGTGATTGCGGACGTAGTTGACCAGCTTGCCTACGTTGGCGTTATCTAGGGCGGCGTCGACTTCGTCCAGCACGAAAAATGGGCTGGGCTGGTAGCTGTGGATGGCAAACAACAACGCCAGCGCTGCCATGGTCTTCTCTCCGCCCGACAGATGCTCCATGTCTCGGAACCGCTTCGTCGGGGGCATGGTGTGATAGTTCACCCCGGCGAGGTAAGGTTCTTCTTCGTCCGCAGTGAGATATGCGCGGCCCCCGGCAGGGAATTCGTCCGACTTTGTCAGGTTGGAATAGATGGGCTCAATCTGCTCCGAAATGTGGGAGAAGGCTTTGTTGAACAACTCGTTCCGCTTCTCCATGGTATCTTCGAAGCTGGCCTTGAGCTCACGGTATTTGGCGCGGGCGTCCTCGTATTCCTGCTCGGTGTCGCGGGCGCGTTGTTCGACGGCGGCCAGGCGTTGCGCGGCGTGCGCATTCGGTTGCATCTTGTCCAAGGTCGCACTTAATTTCGCAATGTCTTCCTGCAACTTGGCTTCCATGGCTTCGCTGTCGTCCTCCTTAAGGTCGTCATCGAGAACATCGAAGTCGGGCGACACGCCGTAGTCAGCGACATGCTGTGCTTGCAGGGACGACGCGGGATCATCTACATCCACATCCATGGCGTTGGCATCGTCGAGAGGCATCTCATTAATCGGAACGCTGTCCAAGCTCGCGGACGACGGTTCCAATGGTACGGCGATGTTCTCGATCTTGCAGCGGCGAAGGAGACTGTATCTGATAGTCGAGTGGCGCTCCATTTCCGTTTCCAGCGCACTGATGGCTCTGAAAGTGCTCTCCATCTCCTTGGCTCGGTTCTGAACCTCTTGTTTCTGCTTTGCCAGCTGCTCGCCGGCTTTGGCTAGCAGCTCTTTCTGCTCATCTAGTTGGGCGTGGAGCTCATCGAGCTCATGCTTCAGGGTCTCAAGGTCGTTGTTGATACCCTCCCGCTGCTCGATGAGGTCATTGAGAGTGTCTTTGTTGTGTTGCTCCTTTTCGTGGAGAGCGCGAAGTCGGTCATTTGTCGCCTGGATTCTGGTTCGCTCAAAGGCAAGTTGGCCTTCAATCCTCCCCTTTTGGGTCACAAACTCAAGTTTCTTCTGGGCAGCCGCCTGTTGAAGCGAGCCTTGCCGATCTTCATAGTCCCGAATGTCATCGAAACCAAGCCTCTGGCAGAACTGGGCGAAGATCTCGTTCTCGACGTTGTTGATCGACTCTTGATAGTCCGAGATGTCTTCGTCGATCTTCTCGAGCTTACTCTGCTCTCCCCTCATCTTGGGTGTCTCTTCCGAGAGCAGCTGCCGCACGTGGTCGACTTCGCGCTTCTTGCTCTGGACGTTCTTCTTAAGAGCGTCTAGTTCTTCTTTGGCATAGCGTAGTCTGCTCTCAAGCCCACTGAGCTCGTTTTGCAGGACCTGTTCTTGGGCGACACGAGATCTCTCTTGAGGCAGTGCGGCGAATTCTTCCATCAATTTGTCTTTGAGCTTGTGGAGCCTCTCGATTTCGGCATCGTCCCATCGCCGGGTGTTTTGCTCTCTGCCACGACCGCCGGTCATCAGACCGCCCTTGTGGATGACACTGCCGTCCAGGGTGACAGCCTTTGCATCGACATGGCGAACATAACAAAGTTCTTTAGCAATGGCAAGGTCATCACAGACAATTGCATTTCCACAGGCATAGGATATGGCTCGCGCGACCGACTGGTCGTAATCCACAGTCTCGATGGCCGGACGCATGCCTCGGTGCATGCCTTTGAGGTTCGAATTGAGCGCGCTGACGTGGATTGTATCTAGCGGGATGAAGGTGGCCTGACCTGACCGATGGTCTCGCAGATATTCAATACATTGCTTAGCCGTGGCCTCAGTGTCAACCACGACAGAGTCAAAGTCGCGACCGAGGACCGTACCGACCGCTTCTTGGTATTTCTTCTGTTTCGGCTTGCACAGTTCATGCACGCGACCTTTGACGCCAGGGTAGGTACGTTTGAGCATGGCGATGGTTTCCTTCATTCTCTTCTCCTTTTCACTCATTCGGCGACCGTCGTCGGCTTCGAGTAACTTTCGCGCGACTTCCGCGAGCTTTTCATCCAGCTCGGTCCGAGTCCGCGCGGCCTGCAGTCGCTTCGACGTCGCAGCATTGAGCTCTTTCTTCTTTTCCTCAATCTGGGCTTGTGTTTGCTCGACGACGTCTTTGACAGCATCTCTCCGCTCGGTGAGAGCGCGACACTCATCTTCAAGAGACCTCAGCTTGTACTCGGTGCTTTCCACGCTGCTCTTGAGGCTGTTGTACGTGGCCTCAATTGGGGCTCGTTCACCCTTCAGTCTCTCGACGCGACTGAGGTCCGCTGAAGCGCGTTTGATAACCTCTTCTCGGAGTCGCGTGTACTGTTGAAGATCTGCATCACTCAGCTGCCCACCCAGTCGACTTGCATTCTGTTCCAACTGGGTTTGCCATTGAGCTTGAGCTTTCTCAACAGTGCTCAAGTCCTTTTCCAATTGTGCCACAGTTTTCATGTGCGTGTCTTGTTCCGTCGATATGCTTTCGACTCGATTGTGGTACTTGGAAAGTTGCCGGTTCGAGATCTTAATCTGCTCCTCGATTGGTATGAGAGAAGACACCTTGTCTTCGATTTCTCTTTCCTTCGCCTTGATCGCCTTTTCTGCCTTGGCTACGCCTCTGGCGGCTTGTGCGTGTTCCTTCTTTGCAATGTCGAGATTTCTCTCGTATTTCTCAATACCCCTACGGTACTCCTTCAAGTCATCCTGGTGTTTCTGGATCTCGGCACTGGACTCTTCGATCTGGCGTTGCAGATGATAGAGTTTCCACAAGACGTGAGTGACGACTGCGTCGTCTCGCTCCGCAGCCTTCTTTTGGAAGTTGTCCGCCTCTCGTTTCTGTTCCTGATACTGACGGATCTCAGAGTTGATGCCTCTGCGACGATTGAGTTGAAACGCTTGGTGGTCGGCGGCCTCATCCAGCTCTGCCTTCAGTCTGTCGTATTCGGGTTTATACTCCAGACTACCAGAAACCTGCTCAATGAGCCGTGTCAAGTCATGGGGTTTCTGGACTGCGATGGCTTCGACATCGCCTTGAAAGACCAGAAAGTTACGAGCCTTGATGAGGATATTTTCCTCTTCCAGAGACTCATTGTATTGGTGCGCAGTCACGACGCGGTCGTTGATGCGGTATTCCGAGGCTCCTTGGCTCGTAATTGTGCGCTTATATTTTTGTTCGATTCCAGCATCATCCTCATACACTGCCATCACCCATGCCGACTTCGGGTCGTTGCGCTCCTGAGTGCCGTTGGCTTGACTGCCACCCTCTTCTTCTTCTCCTTCTTCTTCTTCTTCTTGTTCTGCTCCTCCTCTATCCGCTTCCACCTGTCCGTTTGCTGTCGACTTTCGCAGGACGCGACCGCGATATACCAGTTCCTTCAAATGGGTGGAGCGCAAGGCAGAGGATTTGATCCCGAGGACGAAAGAGATGGCATCCATGGCATTTGATTTGCCCGAACCGTTCGGACCTATGATGGAAGTGAAGAAAGCATCGCCGAAGAGAAGTACATGGTGTGCCTTGTAGGATTTGAAGTTGAACAACTCCAGCCTGATGAGCTTCCCCATGGCGAAGGAATGTGTCGAAGAGCGGGGTTGAAGAAAGCGTTGCAAAGGGAGTACGAAAGGGTACGCGAGCCGTTAACGCGTGGACATTACGGGGGGAGTCAGAGGCAGTCGATGCTCTGCCAGAGCAGTGGTTGCAATGGGACAAAACCAACACAGCAATCTGTTGTCGAGGTCAAAGGGACGAGCAGAACGCGCCGAGGGCTGAGGCTCCGAGACCACGACGCGAGGCGCGTGTTTGGAAAATGAGAATCGAGTGGGTTATCAGGTTAGAGATTAGTGACCAGGCTAGCAGCTTAAGGACTGTATTAGACTGTCAAAGCCACCCCTATAGGTGCCTAGCCTTTGGGGAGAGTCACCGCTTAGGAGATCCAACAGCCCCTATCAGGCTAGCCTAACACCACTCTATATGTGACTAGTAGGTCACTAAGTAAGGTAGCCTGGATGCATGCCCCCGGCTCTCGTCTGGTCTGTGACGTCTGTCTTCCTGCCCAGTCAACTTGCTTCACGTCGGCACGTTCAACGAGCTTCAAGTCCTCGCTCAACACCCTTATGCAAAGTCCAGCATGATCTTCGATCGTCTCGGATTGTCGATCAGCAGGCACGCGCAACCTCTCCACTCTCTTTCTATCTAGGATTACCCCAGACCGTGTATAGAACTGCGACCAATTTCCTCCATCGCCGAAGGCCTCCTGAACCTCCTATTCCTCCAACCCATGGATCGCTTGTAAGCGACATAGATACCGCTTCTTGTTCTCAGCATGTCCGAACCAATACCTATTCCGGGGTCCAAGTCCGTGGCGGACAATCTAGACGAGGCCACGGCGACAGATATGCCTGGCAGTCTGCCGGATCCAGACCACCTTACCCCAGGCTATCAGTCCTCGACTCCAGGAAGCCCTTACATCTTATCTCGAAACTCCTCGTACACTGCGAGCCAGTCGCTGCAGGAAGACTGGGAAATCCCGCTGGATAAACTAACATTTTTCGATATCTTCGATAACCTTGCCTTGCCGTCGAAGCTCGAAAAATGGCAAGCAACTCTGGCTGCGCAGAAGGAGAAGCTGGCGAAACAACAAGAACGGATACGGAGCTCAGGCAACAATGCCAAATACCGCGCCGTGGCCGAGTGGCGCAAACGTGTTCCTACGGCTGACGAGCAACTTGCTAAATATCGCTCGCGCATGAAGAGATCTGTAGACGATCTGAGTAAGAGATGGAATGATACGGTCGCCATATCGATGAGGGAGAAGGTGTCCTTCATATCCGCCGTTCTTAATGTCTTCCTCTCAGGCTATTTGATAGGAGCGGCTCCGGAATACTTCTACTATTGGTTCACGGCGCAACTGGCTTACTTCATGCCCATTAGGTTCATCACCTACCGGCGCAAGGGGTATCAGTATTTCCTCGCGGACCTATGCTATTTTGTCAACCTCCTCTGTCTTTTGTCCATCTGGGTGTTCCCTCGGTCGAAGCGTCTCTTCATCAGCACCTACTGTCTTGCCTACGGCAATAATGCGGTGGCCGTTGCCATGTGGCGGAACTCTCTGGTCTTTCACTCCCTAGACAAAGTGACCAGTTTGTTCATCCATGTCATGCCTCCGGCCGTTCTACACTGTATGGTCCATCTGACCCCTGAGGAGTTTCTGCGCGTCCGCTTTCCTGCCGTGCACGACATTAAATACAGTCCTCCAGGCTCACCGGAGCACTATAAACTATCTGCCATGCTGGGCTGGGCGACTATCCCATATGCTGTCTGGCAACTCTTCTACCACTTTTTCATTACCGTACGAAGGCGGGAGCAGATCGCAGGGGGACGGCCAACCTCATTTACCTGGCTACGCAAATCCTACTCGAAGACCTGGATCGGGAAAGTCGTCCTCTCACTCCCACCAAACTTGCAGGAAGTTGCATTCATGCTCATTCAGTACAGCTATGCCTTGCTCACAATCATCCCTTGCCCGATCTGGTTTTGGTACCGTTGGGCCAGCGCTACGTTCCTGATGTCCGTCTTCACCTGGAGCGTGTGGAACGGCGCGGTGTATTACATGGACGTTTTTGGGAAGAGATTCGAGAAGGAGCTGGAACAAATGAAACGCGAGGTGGCCAAATGGCAGAATAGCCCGGGTGCAACGCTGAGCCCACCTTCAGAACCCCTGGACGGGGAAGTGCACGTGGGCGCTTCGACTGATGGTGGGCCGGAGAAGGATAGGGAGAAGACCGACAGTAAAAGGAGAAGCATCGACCGCATCCCGCTGCTGGACGAGACCGTGCAGACTGGAAAGGCTCAGTCCAGCTCCAGAGCGACAGGTGCAGAAATCCTCGACGACGCGAGCAGCAGTGTCGCGGACAGGAAGTTTATGTCCAGTGGACCGCTTTCGGGGGGGCAGGAATGACAGCATTCAACAAGAATGCGGGCATCGCGAGTATAGCGGAGCCCAGTAGTCAGTGCGCAGCGGCTCTGCTTCGCTGGGACAGAGCGCATTCAATCATTGTTGTTAACTATATGTACAGCCCATTTGACGAGCCGAAAGCTCCGCAGTATCTTGCCTTTCGTCCTACTTGTGGCACGGCAGAGTCTTGTTATGACGATACCCTTTGCTTTTTCCCCTCAGTGCAGTCTTTAACCTCCATGTTTTTTGGCCAGTGTTAGTGAAGCGTCACGCATCAGGGCCTCTCACTGGGATTTGTTTCCGCTCGCTTTGGCTGCGGCTTGAGATATTCACCGACTGCTCCGAACTTCGATGTCGTAAACGATATGGATGAGGCGGACTGCCATCCGCCTTCAGCGCAGAACCTTGCCAGGATCTGTCGTGGCGGCGAGAAGGCCCCTTGGCTACTGGTATAGGATGGAGCCGGCTCGCTGTGGCCGAATATGAAATTCTGATGTGGACTCGGGCATAGAGTGGCCGCGCCGAGCCCGGGGCTGGCTGGAACAAACTCAGCAGCTGGATCGAAGAAATGGTATTGGTAATTGTATTGGGGTTCCTATTGATGGTTGTATTGATTTGCGCATTCGTGTTCGTATTGGTACTCATGTTGTTGGTGTCGGTGCTCGTGCTGGTGCACGTAACTTGTGAAGTGAGCTGGAGCTTGGGGGGAGAAGGGTTTGGGTTCGGGCTGAGGGAGATCCGATCTCAGAGAATCGATCTATCCCTCGAGGCCCTGCAACCATGGGATATCAAGCCTCGAAGCCGGTCGGAGAGGGTTGTTCATAGGAACGAGTGGTGCGCTGTCCTTGACCAATTGCGCCAGTTCTTCATTCTGCACTTCGTAGTACTTGTAGCTGCCGGGGCTGGGGCAGTTGCTGTTGCTGTTGCCAACGCTGATGTTGGTGCCCGACGAACTCGAGGGCGGGATCATCATGAGGTGCTCGGGCGAGAGGTTTCCAGAAGCGAGCATGGTGGTTTCGAAGGGGATACGTTGAAATGGAAGGTGATGATGCATTATCTCAAGTTCCGCGGTGTGGAAGATAGACGGGACATGGCCACAACGGCGGGCAGAAGGGCAGGATATATAGTCCTGCAGGAATGAAGGCGGTGGAGTTGTCAAGAGGACCTCTTCCGCCATCCATGAGGGTACCGGAGCGAAAGGAGGACCTGTCCCAACAACATGCTGGTCGGTTCCGGCGAAAAGACTCTGGTTAGAGTGGATTACTCCCCGCGGAGGACCAGTACCTGGCTCTGTGAAGCTGTCCGCGGGCAACGAACCACAGACAAAGGGATCGAAGACTGGGTCCCAACCAGACGCACGCGGTTCTTGTTGTCCATATAGGGCCACCTCATCATATTGACTAGTGACGAAGGTGCTGTACCGGGGTGTGCCATACAATTCATGTCCTCGTACCTCATGGTCAAGGCTAAGGCGTCTGGATTCCAAAAGGTCTGAAAGCGGCTCTGCCAGAGATGGTGGTGGCCCGTGCTCAGGGGAAACCGGTGGCGGACTTCGTGACGACCTGGTCCATGAAGTCGCTTGCTCGAATAGGTTCTGCTTGCTTTGCTCACCAGTCTCTACTCGTCGAGCTAAAGGCGGCGGATGCAATAGAAAGACAGGAGACCCGCTGAACACTGGCCTCAAGGGACATTCTGCGAGAGGGCCATCCAACCACGGCGATTCTACGGGAGGGCCGATGTGTCGCACACACTGTTTGTGGCCAATATAGCATTTGAAGATGCCCGGCTCCTGACATGGATCTGTTGATGGTGTATGACCGGCCTTCATAGCTACTTGATAGCGCTGGGTTGTTCGGTTCGTGCGTGGATCGATGTTAAACCGACTAGTTACCAGTCCCAATGGTATTGTAGATGTATCATGAACCTGCCTGCCATTTTATCCTTCGAAGGAGCAAACGGGTACGGGTATGTCTGTTGTTCATATTAGTAGAGGAGTCAGCCTACCGTGTAGACAGTCGGGCAAAGAGGCCGTCGAGGCTGCGTGACTGCATGCAGTGGCGGTTTGAGTTGACGCATCATCGAGGGCACTGTTAGAAGAGTCACTATGTGATCAGCTCGTATGATGGTGAGTGACGGTGAGTGACGGCGAGAGATGAATCTGACGACGCTCACTGCATCGACTTGTACGCCTCAGCTCGGAGCTGATCCCGCTGGTCATATTAGCCATGGTGAGATAGTTAGCTACAGGTACGGAGTGGTTGGTGTGTTGTATTAGGTAGGAGTCTTCGTTTGGACATGTCTGGTTGAATGCAGACTGCGCTGCTTGGCTGAGCTGCCAGGCGTGTGATGTCATCGAATCTTTCAACTCACCAACTCAACAGACCTGGTGCCAGCGTGCCTGCGTGCCTGAGCCAGCCGCAGGCTCTGCCTCCACTCCATGTTCATGAACCTCTTCTACGCTCGTCACTGGACTAATGGTGTGTTTAGGTTCAACAGCGGCAGGCGAACATGCCCTCCCAGTCCAAACTCAGACCTGCGCCGCCTCCAAAGCCCAAATCACTCTCTTCAACACCAGTGACCTCCGTAGCTCCAGCATCCGGCAAGCGCGGCCTCTGCTGGCCGTGGGACCAGCCCGGCTCGCATTTCAAGCTCTTCGAGCCGTACACGTCGTCGACGGGCAAGATCAAGTGGATCTTCAATTGGGAACTCTGGGTGCCCGACTCTCTGCCACAGGAGGTTGAATGGATCCCTTGCGTGCGGACGGCGGAGCAGGCCAAAGACATCGACCCGTTCCTGACCGACATCCTCCAGCGCCGAGAACGGCCGCCCAGGACCAGCGCGCTGCTGGGCTTCAATGAGCCCGAAATCCCCGAGCAGGCGAACCTCAGCGTCGAAGCTGCCGTTGCCCTTTGGACGCATGTCGTCCTGCCTGCGAAAACCAAGTTCCGCCTGAGGCTGGGCAGTCCCGGCATGAGCAGCGACCTGGGTCGAAGCAAACCGTGGCTGGACTCGTTCCTGGCCCGGCTGGGCGCCCACCATGGCATCGACTTCCTCGTCCTGCACTGGTATGGGCCTCGTTTCCAGGACCTACGCGTCTTCCTCGAACACATGCACCAGGCGTACGGCCTGCCCATCTGGCTGAATGAGTTTGCTTGCTCCAAGATGGGTCAGGGCGAGGCGAGCGCCGACGAAGTCAGCGACTTCCTGCGAGAGGCCTTGCCGTGGCTGGACACATGCCCATGGATTGAGAGGTATGCGTATTTTGGACACCAGGATGTCGGTGCCTGGGTGGGACATGCGAGCAACTTCTCCGAACCAGTAGAACGACCAGCAGAAAGTGACACAAAGAGATTGACTCAAGTTGCACGGTTGTATTGCGAGCATTGACAAGACAAATCTATACAGTTCTATCTCAGCCTGGGCTGGCCGTACCACCACGTTCCCCGGCAAGTGAGCCGTCTTGCATGGCGCGTAGTGTCCCCGATCTCCTGTCTTTGCCTCGCCAGCGGAGCAGCCAGCTCACGCCCCCTCTAGCAAATCCCCCAACTCATCCACGTAATAATGCGGCCGGACGTCGCCCTCGAGGAAGTCTTCCTTGGTGGCGACACCCGTCAACACGCCCAACGTGCCGCCGAGCTTACCTTCTAAACCGAATCGGATGTCTGTATTGGTGCGGTCACCAATCATGCAAGCCTTGCTCCGATCGAACTGGAACTTGCCCTCGATGGCATCCATCATGGCCTGGTTGGGTTTCCCAAACGCCATGGGCTCCTGGCCTCCCAGCATTTTGACCAAGGGCGCAGAGACCGATCCGGCGCCGGGAAAGAGGGCGCCTGCCGAAGGAAGGGTCGAGTCCGTGTTCGTGGCCAGAAACAGCGCGCCGCGTTTGATGTAGTGATAAGCGTAGCAGATCTTCAAGTAGTTGAAGTGGAAATCCAGGCCGACCAGCACCACTCCGACGTCCGGGTCCAGCACCGAAGGGTCGCCGGCAGCCAACAGCTTGTAGTCCTCGGGCGTGACATCGCGCCTGTACGCGGGATCGGTGCCTCCAAGGTACGGGATGCCCTCCGAGGCCAACTCCGTCTCAATGCCTGCCTCGCCCACCACGAAGACTTTATTCCTCTTCTTCACCTCGGGGTGGGATTGCGGCAGAATCCGTGAGATGTAGATGCTGGCGGAATATGACGAGCCAAACACCTCCTCAACCGTCGCTGGGATGCCCATGCTCTCGAGCTTTTTCCGGTAATCTTCTCTTGATTTGGTCGAGTTGTTGGTCACGAACACCACGCGTTTGTTCTTCTTGCGTAGCATCTCCAACGTAGGCACGCTTCCGGGGAAGAGGTGGTCGCCGGACCAGAGGACGCCATCGCAGTCGAAGAGGAAGACCTGGGAAGCATCGTCAATAGGTGTTCGCATCAATGGGTGGCTTGAACAAGAGTAGTTCCACTATAGTCCAGAGAAGGCACGGACATCATACTTGTCTATGAATCCACGGATAGCATCCTTGTTGCCTTTCAGGTATTCTGGCGTTGACATGGCCGCAGACACTCGGGGCTGGCAGAGATCGCAGTAGCAACAAGGTAAGAAGAGTGTTGGGTTTCTCTTACTGAGTAGATATTTATTCAATATTAACGTCACCCCGCATCCTCACAGCCTCAGGCAACTCTATTTCCGAACATCAACCTCGAAGTTATATCAATCCGGGCCCCTAAACCACTGGCTAGTACGAAGTACATGCTCATGGCTTAACCCCGTTAGGGAACAGGATACCGCCCTGTGTGCACCGGTATCCCTTCTGAACCCTTTCAAGGCTTGCGCGGCGCTGTATTTACAATGGCTCTGGATCCGCCTTATAGATTCTACCTTCTCACATTCCCTCGTACAGCGTCCAATCTCGTAATGCGCATGCTCAATCTTCCGAACCAGCCCGGTTTACTTCCAGGTTCGAAGAACGAGTACTTCTTTGGACCTGCCTGGGGCTGGAAATTCCAGCATCACACTGTCGGAAGACCCGTTGATGAGTTGAAGGAATGGGAAAGAAACGAGTTGCGTGATTCCTACCAGGCCTGTTTCGACGCACTCACCGAGCAAGTCGATGCCGCAGCTGTGCAGGGGAAACCCATTTTGGTGAAAGAACATGTCGGCTGGTTGACGGAGCCCGTGGCTGAGACGAAATTCGTCTTCGGAGAGCATAGTACTCGTGAGCTGCCATGGACCATCCAGACGCCCTCCTCCTCCTGCACGCACTCGGCGCGGAACGAGACCATTCTACCTGATGAATATCTAAAGACCTGGCTGCCTACTTTCCTGATCCGGCATCCTGCGCTGACCTTCCCGTCCATCTATCGTACCACCATCGACAACGAGGGTCGACAAGCAGCAAGAGACGATCCCGCGCACGTTCTGGAGATGACAGTGCACTGGTCGCGGTCGCTCTACGATTGGTACATTCAACAGGAACATCTGTCTCGATTCAATGCCGAGAACGGGACGAATTGGCCTATTATTCTTGATGCTGATGATGTTATACTGAACCCTCAAGTCATGCTCAGGTATAGCAAGATCATTGGTCTTGACCCATCACTGTTGGCATTCTCGTGGGAGGCTACTAGTAATGAGAGACTAGAGCAAATGTCTAAGATGGAAAGACGGATGCTCTCGACCATATCAGCATCTACCGGCATTTTGAAAGAGAAGGTGTCAGCGGATCTGAATATTGATATAGAAGTGAGCAAATGGGAGACCGCGTTTGGCAAAGAAGAAGCAGAGAAACTCGCCAGCTGGGTAAAGGCCGCGATGCCAGACTACGAATATATGAGGGAAAGACGACTGGGGCCGGCGTAATCATGATGGACAACCCGCTGGGTCGACAAGGTGGCAAGGTAGTAGCCCCTTAGCCCCTTGTAGGTCATCCGGGCATGTCACCTGCGTATGATGCATAGATTACTTTTTGAGCAGGCGTTTCGGAAACCTGGACGAGAGTCGTGGTCTTGCTGTTGCTGTGATAAGAAGGAAGATGGATTCTTTGGCATGCTGCCCGGCAGGAAGATCGTCCAGATGATCGCCTTCCCTGATTCACCGATCTGCGGCTCTTGTCTTCTGCAGAATCAGCCGTCAACTAGGGCGACACTGCTTTGTAGGTCGTCCTCTCCTGACAGCGCGTGGGTAGCTGTCGTCTGTCATCAAGCCCCGCAGTACACTGGTCTTCACTTCTACACGAGCGTAACACTACTGCGGATCGCGCTTGCTTGTGGGTGGCATCAGGGCTGCCGCTCAGTCCACTAGGATCGTCTTTTCAAGTCGAGAGTAATGCTGGAAAAAGCTGCTGAAAAGCCTGATAGCATGGTGTACATCATCCGCACCGCCCGTTTCACGGCAGCTGTGCATGGAAAGCTGCGGGTTGCCGAGATCGAGGGTACGAGCACCAAGGTGAGCGGACAGCATTGGGCCAATTGTGCTCCCACAGCTCGAGTCATTCCGGACCACAAACAGTTGCAGCGGTACTCCCTCAGCGTCACTGTCAAAGACCTTGGATGCCTGCCGCGCTACCTCCTGGATCAAGACTAAGCCGGGTGAATTGGTGGCATATCTTGCGTTCGCATTGATCTTGATCACAGGGCCTTGGTTCATCTCCGGTCGGTGATCAGATTCGTATTTGGCTCCATAGTTGGGGTTGACAGAGTGAGCCATGTCTGCCGAGAGGAGGAAGGAGCTTGACAACGTCTGTTCATAGGCTGTGGAGGTGTCCGTTTCATCGGCGTGGTCGTAAGATTGCTCAGACCTGTCGTCCACAAACGATGAGGATGGCAGAACGGAAAGCCGGCGTATAATGGCTGGCAACATCGTGGAAAAGGCGCCTTGTGCCGTCATGCTGCCAATCTCCTCGTGATCAAAACATGCTATCAAACGAATAGAGGATTCGTCGTCTAGCGCAGATGTTTCTTCAACGGATTGAATCAACCCCTGGGTAGCACAATATGTTGAGTTCAGGTTGTCGAGTCTTGCCGAGAAGATAAACTCTTCGTTAAGCCCGCCGAGGCAGGCCTTTTGTGTGTCGTAGAGCACCACCTCAAAATCAACAACATCCTCGGGCGCAACTCCTGCTTCTGAGGCGATGATTTCGACGATGCGAGGGTGGTGCCTCGTCGTCAACGCTTTCAGCGGGGTAAAGGGCTTAGTCTGTTCCTCCTTCCCGCCGTCGTTCGCCACCTGGCCCTTCTTTTCATCCTGACGCTTGAGCTCGGCGGCGACCAGTCCCGCAATGGGAAACAATTGAGTCTCTTTATTGAAAGAGAACGTCTCCTGCCGGTCGAGATGAATGGCAAGGGTAGGAATGCGCAAGATGGGCTTGTCAATATGAACCAGCTTTTGAGCCACATTTCCATCGGGGCCTCGCACCATGACTCTTCCTGCGATTCCCAGATCCCGGTCAAACCACGTGTGCCACAAGCCGCCTCCGTAAGTTTCAACGCCCACCTGGAGAAATCCATCCCCTTGTTTCTTGCTCACAGGTTTGATCCGTAGACAAGGCGAGTCGGTGTGTGCGCCGATCATTGAGATGGGATTTCCCGGCTTCCACTTTTTGCCGATTGTGAAGGCGACGATGGTCGAACCATTTCGGGTGAGGTAGTATTTCCCGCCAGGGGCGCATATTGACGACCATGATTGCTTTTCCTGAGGATAGGTCTAAGTCAGCAGCACTAGAGGCGGAAACGAGTGACCGACCTTGACTTCTTGGAAACCAACTGCGCTCAGCCGTTCCTTGACCGACTTGACTGCATGGAAGGGGGTAGGGGACGCGTTGACAAAGCTGAGGAAATCAGTTGCCACCGCCTTGCTATTCGCGGGAGCCATGGTAGAGCAGAATCTGGCTTTGGGTCGGCCTCTAGATAAGAGGCGTAGGAGCATGTACCTTCCAGGGCGCAGCGGCGAGTCTAGCAGGTGAAGATGATATGGTTGCAGATGAGTTGAATACCTTAGGTACTCTATTAGGTGGAGAGGTACAGTACGTCAAAGGAGTTCGCACTCTGGTGGGGCTGGCCAAGGCCCTTAGGGGTCTAGGGGGGCTGAACTCCTGTATATTTAACCCTTGCTCTCAACTAAAAGCCAAGGCTAGGGTAGGAAGGCTTAGGCTTATGGGCCCCAAACGAACCCTAAGGGCAGCAGCCTAAGGGTTGGGGCTAAGGCTTAGGGGCCTCCCTCGGCCTCTTCTTAGTACGTCTGTAGGTACCTATTATCCGACGTCTGTACGTGCTACTGTACTTTGCGTACTCTGCACCATCTGTAATAAATGTCTGACCGATCATCCCGTTTGGAGACGCCAATCACTGCTCGATAACGGCCCGTCTCATGCGCTGTTCTCGTCGAATCAATCTCTTCCTTGCAGACACCTCTCAAACGTCCTTCAACTGGCCCAGAAGGGCACTTCCGAGGTGGATTCTGACACGGGGCATTGTACTCCCTTGCACTCACAACAAAGAGACGCGGTGTTTAGGATTGTTGGCGTGGTCAGCACTCGGCCGCGTAAAGTGGTTTGTTGTGGTGTACTCCGTACTCGGTATGGAGCACGATAGCGAGTACTGTAGGAGTAGTAAGGTAGCTGGTACGGGCTTCACTCGTCGGTGTTGATCCATCGCAACAGCGACAACTGGGGGTTGACAAGACAGAAGGTTGAAGCGTGCTTTGCTCCTCAAATAGATAAGATCCTAGTAGCTAGGAGCTGGAACGTCCAGGGACAGCAGACATAGACATACTGCCTGCTACTCCTAGTACAGACCTGTCAGTTGAAGACGAGATCCGCATTTGGAAAGGCTGCTTGGCGGATCCAGAAGCGGCGGGAACTGCAGTTGCGTCCTGTCGTCCCGTCCCTAAATGCGACCGACCACTGCATTCATTCACGGCTGCCACCACGATCTCAACTCAACTGCTTGTCTTGGCCGCACCTCTGCACGTTAGGTATAGTAGTGGCCATCTACGCCCCGGTGCTTCTATTTAACCTCGAGCCATGTTATCTTGTTAGCCGTCCTCTCCTTCCACTGGCCGAGTTTACTGTCTCAGGCCGACAAGCGGTCGCGGTTGCGGTTGCGGAGACCATCAAAACACCGACCATATTGTATCTGGTTACCACCTCACCATTTCGGATCTACCTTGTCCGTCACTCATTCACTTGACTTCACTCCGGCCTCACTTACGTTTTCACTGCGCCGTCACCCCGCCAGAATATCCTCGAAGTGTCACTTACAGAACAACTGCATCATGGCAGAAGACTCCATAGCTCCGTTGACTATCGACACCTCCGATCGTCCACGCACGCCATCTTTACCTACTCCGGTTGGCTCCAAAACGCCTCCTACAATAGCCAGCAAGCGCTTTCTAGGGAACGACGAGGGTATGTCAGCGATTCAGCGTGCTACCGAGGCTATGGAGGCGGATGCTCTCCATCGGCGGTTAAAAGAGATCGAAAGCGCAGGAAGGCAGAGGGACAGAACCCCCGGGCGAAGTCCTAGCCGGAAGAGGCAGCGAATATACGGAGATCGGTGAGTAGCTTTTTGGAAGCAAGTGGTGGGTCGGAATCTGACCCCGTTTCCAGGTTCATCCCGAATAGAGACGGACAAGACTTGCAAGCGAGTTACAGCCTGTTGCATGACGATGGATCCCCATCAACACCTTCTAGATCCAAGAAGAAGCCACCGACTGGCGAACTACACTTCCAGCGCACCGAGGAAGCGAACAGGACCTATTCGAAGGTGCTGCGAAATGAATTGATGGGTGACACAGTTCCTCAAGATTACCGATCTCTTTCGCCGGACGATCTTTTCGGCCGCCGCCGGACTCCTCCTGGGCAATCGTCAGTTTCAGCTCTTCCACCAGCGTCAATGACCCCGACTACTCCCCACAAGAATATGTTTTCGTATAAGTCTCCTCAGAAGGTGCTAGGATCTGGACACCCGACGCCATCCTCAAGAGCTGGCAGGCATCCAGGAATTATCAATTTGAACGCCAGATCTGACCTGTACTCTATATCACCAATCAACTACTCTTCTCAGTCTATCCTGCAAACCCCTCGAAAGCAGCCCCGGCCCATTGCCAAAGTTCCCTACAAAGTGCTGGATGCTCCCGAATTAGCAGACGACTTCTACCTGAATCTGGTAGACTGGGGCTCGGCCAATATCCTCGGTGTCGGGCTTGGGTCATGTGTTTACTTGTGGAACAGCACCACGGGTAAGGTGACCCAACTGTGCAAACTGCCCGACAATGACCTGGTGACATCTGTGGCGTGGATACAGCGAGGGTCGCATCTCGCCATCGGGACACACAAGGGCTTTGTTCAGATATATGATGCTGAAAAGTCTAGACGATTACGGACCATGACAGGTCATTCGGCGCGAGTTGGGGCACTAGCGTGGAACGACCACATCTTGACATCCGGATCCAGAGATCGCTTGATCTACCATCGAGACGTCCGCAGTCCTGACCAGTACTTACGAAGGTTAGCAGGACACAAACAGGAAGTCTGCGGACTGCGGTGGAATACTGAAGACGGCCAACTTGCTTCAGGTGGAAACGACAACAAGCTGTGCGTCTGGGATAAACTGTCGGAGACTCCCCTCTACCGATTTTCTAATCATGTGGCCGCGGTAAAAGCCATTGCCTGGAGTCCTCATCAGCACCACTTGTTAGCGTCGGGCGGTGGTACCGCGGACCGTTCGATTAAATTTTGGAACACCGCAAATGGGTCTCTGATCAAGGAAATCGACACAGGAAGCCAGGTGTGTAATCTGGCTTGGAGCAAGAACAGTGACGAAATCGTCAGCACGCATGGCTACAGTCAAAACCAGATTGTCGTGTGGAAGTATCCAAAGATGGAGCAAGTGGTCAGTCTTACTGGGCATACGTTCCGCGTTCTTTATTTGAGTACGAGTCCCGATGGAACTACAGTTGTCACTGGGGCAGGGGACGAAACACTGCGGTTTTGGCGCGTGTTTGGCAAGAAGGGCAACGAGGGCAGAAACAGCGACGGGATATCAGGGAGACTGGCTGATTGGGGTGCAATCCGCTAAGTTCTGGACTTTCTTCACGAGAAGAACGTCAGTCCCGCTTTCACGAGTACACGATGCGCAGGAGACACGACGGCTTCAATCTGGGAGAACCATCTGGGTACGCCCTTGAATCGAGTGTGGGACGAACCACAGATCTGGGAGGTGTTTCTGCTACATATGGTAGGACTGTACAGGGCGGCGCTATTTGCGACGCAGATGGCAAATATTTTTTTTTCGAGGTGGATGTGTTGCTGTCTATGGCCTTCAATTTCCTTTGATTAAAAATCGGCTTGAGCAAGCGAGAGTCACAGAATTACAGCCAGCAGGCGAGCGAGCGAACAGTCCTTGAGCACGGCAGGTGATTATGAATTCATATGACATGGGAGACATTGCGACATGCTTGTTTTCAGTTTCAGTTGCAGGGAAATGGGAGGATGTTTACAAGCATGGCGCTGGGTCGGCATGCATTCAGGGGCAGGGTTTGGCGTTGGCTGGATCTCACAGCCCAAGTCTCACTGCTATAGCGAGGACTCTGCGGAGAGTATTCGCAGCCTCGAGCATCGCGAGCATCGCAGGCATTGCGTCTGCTCACACAAGATGCAGTACCAAATCTAAAAGCGAGTTTGACACTATTGATTAGGCCGCGCCCTACTGGATGGACACGCATATGAGCTCTTTGACTGATATTCTGAAATGGTCCCTTCGGGTATCTCTGAGGCGGTCAACTTTAACGACATGGCTTCCATCTTAGAGACAATAGTGGCCCGAAGAAAGTACTACCAGGTATTACTCCCCTGGCTCTACGACAACACAACTACTTTTTATACATGGCCAAGCACTCCTGGAATCCAAACACCCGAAGCTGTGGTAAGGCAGATGGAATCTATACCACAGTCTTCTGCTAGAAGCCAGCATCTACCGTGACGTCCCAAATCAGAAGATCAGCTTTCCAGGCTCCACCTGCAACACCGTCTTCACACGTTCCAGAAATGTACGTGCCCGCTTCTCCTCGCCCACTGGCACAGCCAGACTAAAGACGTTCAGGGCACCGTCTGCGGTAGACAGCTTGTTACCCGACGACGACGGCCTGCGTGCAGACCGCTCAGGCACGGCTTTCCCAGATAGAATGTCGATGATGTCAGGCTTCTTTGCCGAAGGTCGCGGAGGAGACTTCGTACTCGAGCGGGCGGGAAGAGCATCGATTTGGGGAAGGTAGGCGCCCCTGGACGTCGTGGGGACGGTGTCCAGTCCCAACACGGCATTAAAGAGGTCGTCGGCAGAGGATTTCTGGCCCTTCGGTCTCGGAAGGTCGTCGTTGGCCAGGTCAACGGCACGTGCAAGAAATGTTGAGAGGGGGACTGTCACGCCCAGAGTGTCTTGGATGCGTTGTTGCACCTTCAGCACTTCTGCTAGAGAAATGGTCAGGCTGACGCTGCTGGTTTTGAGAGGTTCTGGCGCTGGAGGTATCGTCGTAGCCGTGGCGGCGGTAGGTTGAGCGGCCGGTTGCAATATCTTGATACCGCTTAGATCAAGGTGCTCAAGGTCTCCAATTCGTTTGGCGAGCTTGGCAGTGTAGTCGGAGTCAATTGTACCTAGGTAGGCGAGAACATCGCCTTTCAAGAGGCGGCCATTGGGCCCAGTGGCGGGGATCTTCGCTACCTCTTCGTCGGATATATGGTTCTCGTGAACAAGGGTGATGACAGAAGGATACAGAGGGTATTTGGGATTTTGACCCGGACCGCTCGGACTTGTGGTGGGTTTATCCTCTGCCGGTCTCTTGTTCTGAGGGGTGCCTTTGATCTCTTTCTCGACGCCGGAGGACTCGTACTTTGAATCTTCCCCGCCTTTGACGTTGTCCGCTTCGGACTGAACAGGCTGAGAATCGTCAGGTGGAATCTCCAGATTCGAAATGTCGTCCCCTGGGTCTGCGAGGACAGCTATTCTTGTTCCCACTTTGACTGCCTTCGAACCATCTTCTGCAAAGATTTTAGCCACGACGCCGTCGTCCTGAGCCTCAACATCCATCGAAGCTTTATCGGTCTCGATTTCCAGAATGACGTCCCCGGTGGAGAATGATTCGCCCTCCTTGACCTTCCATGCTGAAATGTTGCCTTCCGTCATGGTGGGGGACATGGCAGGCATTGTGAAATTGTGCGCGGCTAAGTAAGAGGAGGTGGAGGAGAATGTCCGTCGAGAGTGCGGTTGAGAATGCGTGCATTGGGAGGTGAGTTGGCGGGCCAGGAGCCGCACAGCCTGTCTGCCCGCCATGGCTTGGTCTAAGGACTAAGGAGTAAGCAGCTGATTGAGTAATATTACAAGGCGTATAAAGGTGTTCACCAGGATCCCCAAAAGGCAGGGCAAAGGATTGTGAAAATTGGCTGCGCGGTTGGATGTTGAGGAGCAAGTTGAACAGCTTGAACTTTAGCTTCCAACTCGTCGGGGCCCGATCTGCGGAAAGTCCGTACTGCGGGCCGCGAACATATTTGCGCTTACGGTTCGTGTACTTCACAGATTTATTAAAGCGGAGCATTTCGCACAATGTGCGCGCGTCATCTAAATACTATGTACTCCGGAGTACCTACGTCCAGGAGAGAGCATCCTCAGACTTACTCTGTAGACACTGTAGCTATCCGCCCGTTCCCCCGTGCAGGCGGCGATCTAGGTTCCCGTAAGTATGTGAATGGTAGCCTTGACAAATCCTCGAATGGCTGTCTGTTGAGCATGGCGGGTACCTAAGATTGGTGTGAAAGGTGGACTCCGTCTCTCCAGGGCACCTGGGATCTAAGTGTTGTAGTTTGTCTCGATTGAACTGCTAGGCTAAATGGCCTCAGGCATGCTCCATGGCCCTCCGACTCTCCCCTGATCACAGGGTATTTGTAGTCCGTGTGGTAGCTGTTCTGTTCACGCGTTGTAAAGGTGTAAGGGTAGTCCAGCAGCCGAGGACCTGTGAACGGCCATTCTCTTGTCTTTCCTTGCCTTCTGTTCGAGGCAAGCCAGGGCTCCGAGAAGGCCTTTGCCACCACAAAACAACTGGAGTAATCTTGGGGGGGGAGGGTTTGAGGGTCTCAGACGCACCTTGTCAAGCAAGATACCAGCATTTGGCAGACCTGAAGCAGATCATTTAGATGCGAAACTCGAAAGCAAAAAAGACCCGCAGGTCATTGTTGAGTTGATCGAGGCAGGTGAAATGCGACCATAAAGTGGTTGGAAGGAGGATTTGAAGATGAACTCACACCTTCCAAGCATCCAGAGTTGAAGGACTGCGAAAATTGGTTCAAAAATTCCAGGATCAGTGGTGGATGGAAGACAAAAGATCGACACTATTACCTCCGATGTCTTTCCAATTACTTGTCGCCCTGGAATTTGACTGAGGCCAAAGATGCTACTGCTTGATGACCGACATAGGTCTCTTAACATGCGGGGTGAGATTCCGATCCATGGAGCCGTGAAGGTCTATGCATAGTTGAGACTCGGCGGTTCAAGGATCGGCTCTGCGGAGTGTCCTGTCTCGCCACCAGCAAGAGTGAGGCTACCACCCCCTTCCCGGGTGTCACTCTAGTCGTCTTTCCGTCGAAAAGGGGTGAAAGGGCCACGCGTCGATCTGGGAAGCTCACTGCGACTTCGTCAATCCGCAGAAAAGGAAGAGCGAGAACCCTACTCATTGAAACACTTCGCGTGCATGCGACCAAAGATCTCCACATAACGCTGCAGGGTTCTGTGGAAAAGTCAAGTGGATCGGCTGCGTACGCGGTACGCAGTTTGGAATATTCATAGAAGGAACCAAGCTCAGAAAACCCATGTTGGAAACATTAAGGTTGTAAGACCTGAGTCATGTTTTTTTTTGGCTGAATTTGCTTGACCTTGGTTGCTGAGCTTTGTCGCGTCGTGAGCTGCGGCGAGCATTAAAATCCTCTGCACGTTGCCTAGTTGTAATTGTGTGTAGCTTAGGCATAAAGACGGAGATAGCAATATCGCTTGTGCTCCTTCTGTTGCTCTTGCGGCCCAGGCAGTGGACGTCCTCCCCGTTATGGGGTGGATCCCAAAGGTTCATTGACTCGGCAGCATGTATCACCGGCAGACTGCATTCGGTGCTGTTGGATGAGGGAGCACAGTGGCGGCAATCATCCGCGAGACCGGCAGTGCAACCTCGCCGACTTGCACAACCATGATCAGTATTCACGGCAAGAAGATGTTGATCATTTCCTGTCTCCACAGACTCCATGTTTTAAAAAGTACAGCCTCATTTTGTCCCTTCCAACCGACTTGATATAGATGACAGGAGGTGGCAAACGCGTGACTTTGTCCTGAGTGGTCGCCTGTCAAGGCTGATAGTCGCCGCCAGTCAGGATAGAAGGGAAAAGCGGTATCGTGATTTGTAGCCTACAGTTTGTGTTAGTTGGTTCTCATCCTGGATTTGGAGTACATCCTTTGACTCTCATTGGTAAGACCAGGGTGAAAATCCTCGACAGACTGCCAATGAATGCCAGTAGTTTGGCTGCAGGTCGGCCAGATGAGATCCACACGCAAACAGAAGTCACCACTGTGGTGCACTAGCAGAGTTGTAGGAGACCTAGGCTGCGGGAGGTTTGGGGCACTCGTGATATCCGATGACAAAGAGGCCCATCGGCCTCGTTCATTCATCGCAATAAACCACAGTTCCATGGCCGACTCGCGGGATGAGACAGAGCAGCCACTGGGGCGCAGGCGCAATTTCCGGACCTCCATGTCCGTGGGCGGCGGAAGGAGAGAAGGGTTCAGCTGGGGGCATGCGGAAGAATAGCATTCTGACTTAGGTGGTCAAACCGACCCGTCTTGCAATGCAATGCAATGCACGACCAGAACTAAACAGAATGAGGCTCGCAGGTAGCCATCGCGCTCAGCCTCTCCATCCCTGCCAAATCTGTCTGAGGCGCTCCGGCGTCTGACGTCTGACAACTGACTGCAGCAGGCTCGAGCGAGCTGCTGTCCTTCCACCAACAGTCCACCTGGAAAACCTGACATCTCCTGACCACTTCACCTCCTGCGGTTCTCTTCGCCCCTCCAAGGGTTGCAGCCATAGTCTCTAGGAATCAGCCAATGCAAGCTTGACCTGCATACCTTCTGGCTCATTTGCTCCCATCCCGCCACGTTATCCATCTCAGTTCCTGCCAAATCAGCGCTGGCACTCATCCACCCGCCGCTGTCCTACCGGCCTTCGGAAGGTTCTGTTGCCCTTTGAGGCGACAAGGGGGGCACTCTGCTGGCCTTGCCCGCGGTTCCGAGTATCGCCTCCTCTCGGACTTTACCAGACCCTCTTCTACTGTTCAACATGGAAATGATGCGCCAATCGAAGACGGCCCTCTCGGAATGCTAGCATTTCATGACGGTCTCGGGGGCATGCGACAAGGAAGGCTACAACGACGCCATGGAGAGGGACGAGGAAGAAGCTGCTGCTAGTGAGTCAAGGAGGATTAGAAGAAATTCTATAACAGGCAGGCGTCAGCCACCTGCAGCTAATACCGATTATGAGTCTGCTGAGCCCTCGTTGTCTTCCGAATCCCCGATCATGAAGTCGTCCATGTCCTCTAGGGTCGGCTTTCCTTCCAAGCGGGCCAGCCAGGCCGAAGAAGATGTCGATTGTCCTTGCAGCCCAACGTCATCCTCGGGGCCATCGTTCCATCAAGACACGCAGCCATCGCCCCAAAGCGAGGGTGCGCAGTCCGCCAGCAAAGCTCCCGCGTCATTGGCAGGGGAAGAACAGCATGGTCATGAAGACAGATTGAGTCAGCGGATGAGTATTCCGCCTTGCACAAGCAAAGAGGAGCGGATCGCGCTCTCTACTGCTATGCCTCATCCGCCAGTGACCAAGGAGACTCTAGAAGAGTTGGGACTTGCGTACATTCAATCTAATATAAGCTTACGCATTGATATCAACTATGATCACGACCTTCAGTTCACGCATGATGATGGGATAAAAGGGGAGCAGAAACAGCAGGAAGCCAGGAAATACTGGCAGAGTCTCGAGGCAGAACTCAGGATAATGTACCAACACAACCTCTATCCCTCGTGTGCTGAGTGCAACGATCTGGGCTCGTCCAACCCAACCGAATCTACTTTCTTCAAACCAAGGTTGCCGGAGATGTTCTTAAACCTCAAGGAATTGCTCACCATGTTGATTCCGGACGGTGAGCAAGGTCAGCTTGTCCAATACCTCGACATCCCTTTACTACTCCAAGAGTTACGCCATGGCCTGATGGACATTGTCCGTCTATCGGGCTGGATTTGCCAACTTCTGACCAGTCACTGTGCCCCTATTAGGGATCATGATGCTCAGGATATGGCCAACCACATAAGAGAAGGGGCGGAGCGATGCAATGTTCACACTCTAGTCCTTGGTATTGAGAAGCTGTTCGCCTTGTTGGAGGCGATGCAATTGGACGTCGCCAACCATCAAGTTAGGAATCTTCGTGGGTCTTTCATCGATGATACAGTCGCCTTCCAACAACTGTATTTCCAGGCTCGCATCAGCAACGGGGTTCTGATTGTGGATGACTCCCGCAAATGGTACCGCAACGCCGCTGCAAGCCATCAGAAGCTCTGCCATGTAGTTGGCGGGATGTCCGACGCTTCCACACCTGTGGCGTTGATTCATGGGCTCATTGGGGTTTGCTTCTCGCAGAATACTCCCATCCCAGACACTTTAAGTCACGACACATCCCGCTTACGGACGATAAGCGCTCAATTCCTAGACCTTGTCTATGTCGACATCAGTCTCTGGGTCTTCGACCATCTTCTTTATCGACTGGCTGGCCCAGCTTGCAACCCATCTCTAATTCATGGGGTTCTGCGCATGAGGCTCATGATCCTGACAGATAGTGACGCAGCATCTGGCCTTACAACACCCGAAGTTTGGAACCGGCACGCCTACGCAGTTGCCTTGGAACTTACGCGCGCCGCATTTCAATACTGTCAAATTGCAGAGTCCACCCCTCCTGAAGCCGAAGCTGCAAGGACGGCAGAGCAATTGACGGCTATGTACCACTTTGAAAGCCAAAACAGCGCTCGGACCCGAGCAATCGCCAGAGCCCTTGAGCAAACAGTTCATGACTATGCGAAAGTATATCAAGGAATGACGGCACAGGCCATCTCTCTCACACAGAGGAGATTGCACCTGCGTCATGCAACGTCGCAAGTATATCGCTATCTACCAGACCTACGCGACTTGGCGAGCCGACTGGCGCATATTGCGGTGATACATTGGAGGGTGTGGGCGGACCTGGCTTATTTGGTAGAGTACGAAGAGGACGAGGAGAGTGACGACAGTGATAGCAGTGAAGACGGCGCAGAATCTGTACAACAAGAAGATGGTCTTTGAAAATACCCATTTGTTTGCGTTTCGGTAGGAAAAGGGGCGAGAAGTTGTCAAGGGTCTAATCAAGGGTCATGCTGCTGTATCATCAGGCTAATTTCGGGTTGCAACGTGGAGTTCCACGATTGTCGTGCTCAGCACCGCTTTAGGTGCTTGGTACTGTCACTGTAGCAAAACATTACTGCTAATTAACATTCGAATAAGTTACATATAATACTTGGTGTTTGGTAGGTAGGTAAACACGGGTCGTCACGTGACATTGTTGGATCTTGCCGTTCAGGGGGTACGGGTAATGTACATTGTACATTGTACTTGGCTTGACACCTTTTCTCGCGCGAACGAGCAGAGAACGAGCAGCACACACCTTGAGCACTACAGAGGAGTAAAGGAGAATCAAGAGCTGTTCGTTCTCTCCGCTCTTCGCTTTGGAGTGTGATTGCGCATATTGACGCAGCATCGGCTAGGTTTCGCCGCGCCATCTTGACTGTGATGAGATGAGCCTGGCGAGACCATGGCTGACAGGGCTGACGCTGGCCCAGCTGCACCGGATCGCAGTCTCGATCGGGTCACCTTGCTCGGGTACCAAAGCGGCACGTGTGGCTGGCATCCAGCAGGCATTGTCGGGAGCAGAGAAGCCGACGAACAACAACTTGAGTCTCCTCAGTATCGACATGGGTATCCGCAACCTCGCGTTTGCCCATATCTCAGCCCCCAAAGCGTCCAGCTCATGTCTTCGGTACGGCTTGCCGACGCTCCAGCAGTGGCGGCAAGTTGCTGTGTCTCAGATACCACAAGGCAAGGACCTCGTCTCGTCTCCAGCGTTGGCCGCAACTTTTGAGATGGGACCAGCTTCCACCGTGACAAGCAAGCTGCTTCGACAAACCAAGGAGTCGTTCGAGCCTGTTGACTACGCACACCACGCGTACAACTTGATTACACATCTGCTACAGACCTACAAGCCTACCCATATCCTGATTGAGAGGCAAAGGTTTCGCTCAGGGGGTCGAGCAGCCGTCCCAGAGTGGACGATTAGAGTCGGCGTCTTTGAGGGCATGTTATATGCCGTCCTTCGGACTTTGATCGAGGACGGCCGGGTCCAGGTGCAGGTGGAACCTGCGCAGCCGACCTTTGTCAATAGGCACTGGCTTGAATCTCGTGAGAGCGCGAGCGATGCTCTCAAAGAGAAATCAGCTGTTCGTCGCAGCGGTCGAGAGGTGAAGAGAGCAAAAATTGATCTGGTTGGCCAAATGCTTTTGGGCGAGACCGAGCATCCGACAGTGCTCATAAATGGAATTCTGCGCCCGTTTACATCCGAGTTTGTCTCGATCTGGCACAAGGACAGAAAGAAGAGTGTTCTTGCCACGAATGGTATATCAAAATTGGATGACCTGGCAGACTGTCTACTTCAGGGTCTGGCATGGATCGATTGGCAAAACAGGCGCAGAACCATCCATACTCTGGGGCGAGACGGTGTGGTAGGAGAGTCTGGAGAGCTGCGGTGAAACCCTGCAAGGCAATTATGATTCATGTGAGCCATGACGACGGGCCGTGGCTATCGTCTGTTCTTGTCTGGCCCCTCTTGTCGTAACGGAGACTTGTCATGGTATGCCTGTCCGAGGAGAGACTGCAGAATCCAGAACCCAGCTCCAAAAGCAAGTTAAACAAGTTCTTGCTAGACAATTTTTCACCACGCCTTTCCCACCAAGACGTGAACACCCTCAACCGGAAAGTGACCCGTGCCACATCCGTTCGTCTGACCCTCAGACTCCCGCCCGAACAATCATTGCAGATGAAGCAGACCGGAAGGGCCACATCTGTCCTGGGCCTACCGAAGAGTGCTCTCTGGATTTGGGTGGGCGAGAGGTACGACGCGTTCCTTGGAGAGGTAGGAATTCGAAGGAGGTGGATCAGGCAAGACGACATTAGGCGAAGCGCTGTGAAGGAAACGTATATTGTGAGGACGATGGCGACAACGGGAAACTCGTCCAGGCTGCGGGCAAAAAGCCGGAAGACAGCTGGATAGCCACACATCTGTAGAGCTTTGGGCACATCGGCTGTGCTCGAGGACACTCGCAACAAGTCAATGTGACCGGCAAGGGCGGAGAAGAAAATTAAAGTACGGATGGTGTACGACTTTGACACAGAGTGAGGTGAAGAGGATCACAGTAGACGACCGGCAGAGTGAGAAGAAGTGGGCAGGTGTGGAAGAGTGGAGGATCAGGCAAGATGATAAATGATGAACGGAACTGAGAGTGTGTCTGTCAACGGCTACCAGAAGGGACGTCTGAATGGGCCAGAGGAGAATCTTGGTCGGATACCAGCAGCTCGGCGTGTTTTGGGGCAGTAGCACAAGATGGCTCGGGAGGCTGCGAGGGCCCGGTGAGGAAGAAGGAGGAAAGGAAGAGATATGAAGCATTTGCAGGGAGGGTTTCGATTGTAGATTTCAATTCTCCCCTCTCTGCTTCCAAATCACCGTGGTTCATCTCAGCAACAGCGCCGTCTTCAAAAGGGTTCGAGGCCGTCTCACTCTTTACCCATCTTGTCTCTTGCTCATCAAGTCATTCAGATCTTCCATCATGCAGCCTACCAGTCTTATTGCAGTCCTTCTCTTCGTCATGGCCGCCTGCGCCTCCGCCTCGCCTCACCGTCAAGAAGGCCGGGCTGTCAGTGCACCACGCCCTTATAGCCACGGAGCGACCTTTGCAGGCAACGGGACCGCCACAGTCAGCAGCACTGCAGCCAGCACAGGCACGGCCACCTCCTCGACTTCAAGCACCACTGGCACGTCGTCCGGAGCCATCACGACCCCAACTACGCCTCTTACCGTCGTTGCCTCTCGGAGTGGCTCGCCCATCCACTTCCTGCCCATAAATGCGGCTGGTTTGCGCCTTTATCTGGGCGGCCAGACTCTTTCATACTGCCCAGACATCGTGGACGACCTCGGGGCGTGCCCACCTGGTAATGAGACGGCGTTTTCACTCTGCAATTTGGTGAGTTCGTCGTCCCCGAGCTCGGCAGCCACTGAAGTTAGATAGGCTGTCATTGTTCCTGGAGGTCAGCAATTGTACGTCACCCCTCGAGGTGAGATCGGCTACACCCAGGCGCACTCAAGTTTCATGCCCAATGGATCGCTGCCGTGCCCGTTCACATACTACAAAGCACCGGGCGCTCCGCTTGGGCTTCTGAGCACCCAGGCATTTGGAGCGGATGGGTTAATGGCATGCCCGACGGATGGAGATGCCTGGCAGGTCTTTGCAAACCTGAGGAACGCCACTGTGCCCCAGGGCAATGTATCGCAATGCTTGGGCTTTGACGGCCTGGCCCTCGATTACCCCGAGCTCTTTGCTGCATGGCAGTACACTTGAAGACGGCGATGAAGATGAAATGAAGAACACAAGAATAGGGATCTAATTGGGCTGGCGACACTCCCATTCGGGAGGAAATGAGCTCGGAACGGCATTTCATACACTCTTCGTATCTTCGTACCTTTCTGTACTTTCTGTAGCCGGGATTCAAGGATGTGGTGGGTTAGACCTTTCCTACATACGTTCCAACCCATTTGCGGACCACTCTCCTTCTGTACTCCGTAGTTTCATGGCTCCGAGAATAAAATGCTGGAAAGGGTTCGGGAGAAGCCGGCGACGCACGGGAGATATCGCAGTGAGGGCTGATCTAGACGGCAATGACCTGCAACGATCTGGACCTCGGCTCTGGTGGGAGGCTCAGGCTCCTCAGGCCAGACCCAGACGCATGCGCGGTGCCCACCATCAGCGGGCACCTCTCCTGCGGACAAGACAGCCATCGCGGTGGTGGCGGTGCTTCACTCGTGTATTACTGTGCCCTTCTCCTTCACCAGATGGAATCGCCCACGGGTCTGAGCGACCAAACAGCCAGGCAGTGGGAACAACCTCGCGTAGAGAAGATCTGCGGCAGAAAGTCCAGGGACAATAAGAATGGCCCAAGGCGTCGATTCGCAGACGACCAAAGCCGGAAACATGGGCAAATCCTCACGGCATTTACTACCTAGGTACTAATTGCTCCGTACAGTAGCCGTAGTTTTCTGAGACTCTCCCTTCCCCACACAGCAACAGGGTCGCCTCAGCCCACCTCCCCGGCCACCAGGCATGGTCCAAGTGCGATGATTGGGCCGATGGGCTGGCAGTGAGAAGTGCGCCGGCCTTGCGACCGGAGACACGCCCCGCTCTCTGTCCCAAGGGTTGATGGCCTTTGCTCTGACGTACTGTTATATCAACGCTCTCCCCAGCCCGCCCTCCTCTTCCGAGAGCTGAACTCACTGAGCATCGACATCGGCATCTTCTTACTACTTTCCATCCATCGTCATCGTCACCATGGCCAGCATCGAATCCATCAACGAAGGTGTCCTCATCAATGGCTCCATCAAGGACTCTTACCGCAAGATCCTGACCCCCGAGGCCACCGCCTTCCTGGCTCTCCTCCACCGAACATTCAACGGCACCCGTAAAGCTCTGCTCCAGAGACGGGTGAGCCGGCAGCAAGAGCTTGACCGCGGTGGTCTGCCGGATTTTCTCCCGGAAACCAAGCACATCCGCGACGATGACACGTGGAAAGCTGCTCCTCCCGCTCCTGGTCTCATTGACCGACGGGTGGAAATCACCGGACCTACGGATCGGAAGATGGTCGTCAATGCCTTGAACAGCAATGTCTGGACATACATGGCCGACTTCGAAGGTACGAGTTGGACAACCGAAAGCCGTCGCCGCATGACTTGCACGCTAACTTGGTCTTTCTGCTAGATTCCCAAGCCCCTACCTGGGACAACCAGGTCGCGGGACAAGTAAACCTCTACGACGCTATTCGGAGACAGATCGATTTCAAGCAAGGGGAGAAAGAGTACAAACTGCGGAGCGATCGCGTCCTCCCTACGTTGATCGCCCGTCCTCGAGGCTGGCATCTGGAGGAGAAGCATTTCACCGTTGACGGTGAGCCCATCTCGGGCTCCCTCTTCGACTTTGGCCTGTACTTCTTCCACAATGCCGTTGAACTGGTCAAGCGAGGCACCGGCCCGTACTTCTACCTCCCCAAGATGGAGTCTCACCTCGAGGCGAGACTGTGGAATGACGTGTTCAACCTGGCCCAAGATTATATTGGCATCTCCCGGGGCACCATCCGAGGTACCGTCCTCATCGAGACCATCACCGCGGCCTTCGAAATGGACGAGATCATCTTCGAGCTTCGTGACCACTCGTCAGGTCTCAACTGCGGCCGGTGGGACTACATCTTCTCCGTCATCAAGAAATTCCGCCAAAACCCGAACTTTGTCCTTCCGGATCGATCCGCCGTTACCATGACCGTCCCCTTTATGGATTCATATGTCCGACTGCTCATCAAGACTTGCCACCGTCGAGGTGTGCACGCAATGGGTGGTATGGCCGCCCAGATCCCCATCAAGGATAACCCCGAAGCCAACGAAAAGGCCATGGATAATGTCCGACAGGACAAACTCCGAGAAGTCCGGGCTGGCCACGACGGCACCTGGGTTGCGCATCCTGCTCTCGCATCCATCGCCTCGGATGTGTTCAACAAATACATGCCGACCCCCAACCAGCTCTTCAAGCGTCGGGAAGATGTCTCCGTGACCAGGAACGATCTCTTGAATACGAACATGCAGGGTACGGTGACTGAAGAAGGTATCAGGAAGAACCTCAACATCGGCCTTGGCTACATGGAAGGCTGGCTACGGGGAGTCGGCTGTGTTCCCATTAACTACTTGATGGAGGATGCTGCCACCGCCGAGGTTTCACGATCTCAATTGTGGCAATGGGTCAGACATGGCGTCAAGACGGCCGAGGGCAAGACCGTTGATAAGGAATATGCGCTGAGACTGTTGAAGGAGCAAGCCGACGAACTGGCGGCCAAGGCTCCCAAGGGCAACAAGTTCGCTCTTGCTGCCAGATATTTCGAGGGCCAAGTGACAGGTGAAGATTACGCCGATTTCTTGACGAGGTATGTTCATATACTCTGCGCTCCCTTTACTAATGGACTAACGTCGGTGCTCAGCCTACTATACAACGAGATCACGACCGTTGGATCATCGCAGCCCGTGGCCAAGTTGTAAGTTGTCAAGATGAACTCGCTGAAAAGCGGCGGTGTTGAGTATATATAGCACGCCGGCGGAGGAATGATTCATGACCCGAAAGTTGTATTCAACCAAAATGGTTTGTCAAGTGGCACAGGCTATGCGCCGTGCCTTGTCACATGTACCTTATGCTTTATGCCAGGACCAGCACCGAATGTCTATTGAATGGAAGCTCTCTAGTCGCAACGTTCGACACCACCCCATGATGGAATCTTACCCCAGCCAGCCATTCCGCTGTGCCATGTGAATCGAAGCAGGGATGGCGTAAGAATGAAGTGGTGTGAAGAGAGGAATCTTGCCACCATAGTCGATTGGGGAAATCGTCGTCGCGGAGACACGAGGCAGGGAGCAGGGATACTGTGAGTCGGTGGACTGACCACCAAGGGTAAGTAGAAGCAACCCTCGAATGTTTCAGGTTCCGCTCATGCATCTTGTTCTGGCCTTAGGCCCAGCGTGCAACCCTGGGCGATGTGCTGTATATTTACATGGAGTTGGGTGATTGCAGAGGACATTAGCTTCGTCAGGCCCTAAAGACTACTGGGCACAAAGCAGCCTACTACTGCAGGTGTATAGGATCAGGCATTGTCTGTGGTCACTGGTGTCTGTCCATGCATTATTGTGTCTCGGTAATAGTTCTGCAGCAGGAACGAGCCCCTAAGCCCTAAGCCCTGGTGCCTGCTAGTACTGCCTGTTAGGTACTAATTAATTACCTAGGTAGTAGTGGTCCAGTCTAGGCACCGCAGGTAGCTGACCTTGGCTGTCCTCCGTACTTCGTGCTCCGTAGTACGGAGTACGGAACCTTGAATCTTCCTGGGGGCGGCGACTTTCCTGGGGAGCAATCTTCCCTCTCTGTGCTTACGGAGTAGAGTGGTTCCTACCTGACTGAGCCCAGATGCTCCTCCAACCTGTGCCTGCGGTGCCTGTCCCTGCCTACCATCCCTACCATCCCTACCCAGTACCTACCAGGCAGGTATCCAGGGACACCTAGCCAGGCATTCCCACAGTACTCCCTGGCTTCCCGTACTCCTGTCAGGGCACATTCCGTCCGGCGTCCACCCCAAACGACACCTCTCACGAACAACTCAGGCCACATGCATTTGGTGGCGCAAACCCCCCGCCTATTGCCTCTGGGGAATAGAAGCCACCTCGATCCACTCGCAATGATCGCACCCTGGTGGCCGCCTACCACAAGCCACACGCAGTCAGCCCTTGCGTAGGAGAAAAAGGCGCATGGATACTACTCCATAGGAATACATAGGACACTGCCTTGTACAAGGAGCGACGATGTCACCAGTCCACCGACGTGGAAGCCTCAAGAAAAACGAGTTGAGCGTGACACCTGTCAACCACGTGCGAATCTGATCGATGAGCCCTGGCGGTGAGTGATATCTGTTGTATCATCTGGGACTTCTTACGAATCCATCAGGATGCCTCGCCCATCCTAGCTTTGACACCATCGCTTCCCCCCCGACGTTAGCTCTGCAGGTCTTCGACTAATACATCAATCATGCAGGTCCGAGCAGCTCCCGAGCCGTTGTCTTGCATCCTCTCGCTTGTCCTCCGCCACCCCTGACGGAATCTGGTGCCCCAGGAGGAACGAATTCACAGTCCCACCTCGGGTCAGACTCTCTTCCCACACATGCGTTCCGGGCATATCGGAATTCGAGTTATCCGTACTGTTATTTTTCAAAAGGACAGGCCAGTACTGAACCTGACCCTGGCTTTCTACCAAGCCTAATGGCGCGACACTCCGTGCGGTCGCTAAATATCTTCCTCTTATTTCCCACAAGTCCAACCCTCTTCCACAGGCTCTGCTCAGGGAACGAGTATCATTCACTGTGACTAGAGTGATAAGATCGTCCTCCAAGTTCCTACTTCCGTTCTGATTGCGACGGTCGAGGACTCAACGAGGACTCAACGAGGAAACTATGCCGTTCTGAAACAAACCTCCGGCTTTCGACATCTTCACGCCCGACCTCTGGTTGTTGACATGCTGTCCCGGTCCTGATTCGGCAGAAGCTAGCTCTTGCTGTCACAAGTCCAAGAACTTTTGATTTGAGATGCCAAAAGGCCATCAACATGGTTGATACATTGCACCGTAAGTCCGGCATCTACAAAGGCACACCATGGCAAGAAGTGACAATCGAGTATTACAGCTCCCCCTTCGGTCATTGCCTCATGGCCCAAGGCCAACTATATTGACCCCCACACGAGAGGCCCTGCTTTGGAGTATGTTTGTATCATATTTAGCGCAGTGGCCGTGTTCATCGTCACCGCCCGAGTGTGCTCACGTCTCTTCATCACGAGAGCACCTGGTTTGGATGACCTTCTCGCCGTCATTGCTCTACTTTTCAGCATTGCCTTCTCGGTCTTGGTGATCATCGGCAACGTATCCTACCATAGTGGTCGACACGTATGGGACATACCAAGCAACACGTTTGTTCCTCACCGAATCAACGTCTGGGTCAGCATGTGGTGCTACGTTTCAGCAGCATGTATGATCAAGATCAGTGTGCTCTTGTTCTACCGCAGGCTGAGCGTCAAGTTCAGTAAATTATTTCTGGTGGCCACTTGGGCGGGGATTGTCTACAATATCCTCTACCTGCTTGCATTTGGACTGGCTCTACTACTACTCTGTGACCCTATCTACGCATACTGGAAAGAGTTTGACATCACCTGGGCCGCTTCACACAAGTACAGATGCAGCTCAGAAAACGTGGCGCTTCCAGCTTCAGCGGGCTTCAGTGTCCTGGGTGACTTCTACAGTACCTTGTTGCCACTCCTGCTGATATTCCACCTCGATCTTCCTTTCAGGCAGAAGGTTGCGCTGTACGGCCTCTTCGCTCTGGGATTTCTGGCAGTGGCTGCAGGAATCGTTAGGACCGTATTGTTGTACCATATGCTGAACACGGACTATGACTTTACTTGGGTGCTGTGGGAAACGTGGATTTGGGCGGTGGTGGAGTTGTATGTCGCCCTTTTCGCCGCGAGCGCACCCGCGCTCAAACCTTTCTTCCGACAGTTTTTCGTCGGCACCCTGGGAAGCATTGGACAAAACTCAAGGAGACGCTGGTCAAGCCAAGCCGGCAAGAGAGAGGCAGAGCAGGGCGGCACGTGGGTGTCAGCGACTTCCAAAGACAGAGTCATCATGGACGTGGAGCAAATTGGGATGGCCTACGGCTATGTGGAGCCAGAATCCCGCTCCAGCGGCTTCTTGAGAGATATTGAGCAGGATGAAACTCGCCATTTCGAACTGCGGGCGAGTCGCGACGGCAAGATCATTCCAATGCAGGTATACAAAGCAAGTGCGAGCAGCGCCGAAAGACCCTCGAGCCTGTCCAGCCAGCACGAGCGCGGCAATTCAAAGGCTAGTCCCCTACCCGACGACTGGCCTATGTCACCCGACCCGACTTATCCTCCTGCAAGAGACCGGTCGAGCCCAGCAACTACGTCGCAGCCCTCACAGCACCCACGGCACCCCCGAACGCCCTCCACTGCCTACGGCACGCTACAAGGGAGTGGACGGGCACCTAGGTTGAGGGCGCAGCCACGAACATACCATTCACGACCCGATGGATTTGGACTGAATCCACGATCTTTCGAAGACATGCATGACGGACTGGCGTCTGGATCGAAGCTGGAGTCGCCTAGTGATTCGGATCCGGGCTCGATGGACGTCGATGAGAGGCCGCCCTGGAACACCATCAAGACTTCGAGCAGTCTACAGACCAAAGACCGGGGCGACAGTGACGAGACGCTCAATTTACCGCGGATGGGTTCTCCGTTTGGCTCGGATGTCGATGGCATTGTGCGAAGCGACAAGATAGGGAGACAGTTACGATGAGCCGATTGACGGGATGAAGATATGTCGGAGTATAGGGTCGGGAAGTATGGGATCAGCTCCGAAGAGGATACCAGGTAGGCAGCGATGGCACTTTTTTGTATAATATTTGGTTACATGTAGGTACCTAGGTAGTTACGGGCCGTGTACTCTGTATCTGTACCTGATCCGACCTTCGCTCGAAACTGAGCCGACATTTACTCGGGCAAGATTTGAGCCTAAACCGTTTTGCCAACTCGCCGAATGCGCCGAGGGAGAAGTGATCGGGCTGAGACCGAGAGGGGCCTAAGGCCTAAGCTTCTTCTGGAGAAGGCTGCTTGACCCCTGCACAAGGGAAGCCAGGGCCCAGGGCTTCGGCTTCCCATTCAAAGACTCGACTTTTCCCGGTTGCCTCCTTGATTTGGATCAAGATACTCTTTCCTCCGTATTTCTCCCCCAAAGCATGAAGATCCTCATCACCGGAGCTGGCGGGTTCTTGGGCCAATTCCTGGCCCGGGAACTGCTCTCGAACCCGGAGCACAAAGTGATCCTCACAGATATTGTCGACGTGCCGGTGCCCAAGGGAGCCAAACACCCGCAGAATGCGACCACGGTCAAGACCGACCTGCTCAAAGACCGCAGTGTCATCACCGCGGATCTCGACGCGGCGTACCTCTTCCACGGCATCATGTCGGCGGGCGCCGAGGCAGACTACGACCTGGGTCTGAACGTGAACCTGGAGAGCACCAAGCAGCTTCTACAGACCATCCGCCAGGTCAGGCCCGGGCTGCGGGTGATTTATGCGTCGAGCCAGGCCGTCTATGGCCGGCCGCTGCCCGAGGTCATCACCGAAGCCGTGCCGGCCACGCCTGAAGGCTCGTACGGAACGCAGAAGCTGATGTGCGAGGTGCTGATCAACGACATGAACCGACGCGGCTTCATTGACGCCTACAGCCTTCGCTTCCCCTCCGTGTCAGTGCGGCCGGGCAAGCCGGCCCCGGCGGCGTCGGCGTTCATCTCAGGCATCATCCGCGAACCGCTGGCCGGCAAGGAGACGGTGGTGCCGGTGACGGACAGGAGCTTCCCCTCCAACGTGTGCTCGCCCAAGACGCTGATCCACAACCTGATTTACGCGCTGACGCTGCCTTCGGACGCGCTGCCCAAGCACAAGCGCGTGATCAACGCCCCCGGCATCGCCGTGACCATCCAGGAGATGCTCGATGCGCTGGTCAAGGTCGGCGGCGAGGACAAACTCAAATACGTCAAGGAGGAGCACGACGAAAACCTGGCCCGCATTCTCTACTCGTGGGCCTACAATTACGACAACTCGCTCGCCCTGAGTCTGGGATTCAAGGCGCCCGAGAGCTTCGAGCAGGCCGTCAGAGAGTACGTCGAGTACGTGGAGGAGGAAAAGACGTGGTCCTGAGCCATGGGTCTGCCAGAGCAGAGGGACGACCGGGCTACACATCTGGAATAGTGAAGACCTAATACATACTGTACTGTCCTTCTGAGCTGCTCGATTCCGTTCCGTTCGGTCCCTTGTCCCTTGTCCCTTGTCCCTTGTCTCTTGTCCCTTGTCTCTTGTCCCTTGTCTCTTGTCCCTTGTC